CTTCCCAATACTCCTCAGGCTTTCCATGGCTTCTTTTCTAAAACGCATTGGGGAGTAGTTATACAGATGCTGCCCACATGATGGGATGGGCAGCCAAGGCTCCAGGAGCCAGGGAGAACTTTTCCTTCTCTTCTGTCACAGGGTGCGTGATTAGCTGGAGGAAAAAGCCCAAGAGGAAGAGCAGTCCCTTCCTGACTCAATTAAGGAATTAACTAAGGAATTTTGCAGCCTAAGGCCAGGACTACGACATAATGCCCCTTTGGGAGCTACATGTGCTCTCAAGGTGTGATGAGCTCAGCAGTTGCTGTTACACCACCGTGGGGGTAAGGATACTGGTTCTCTTGGGCTGCATCATACTCTTCTGAAAACAGAGATAGAATGGTTTGCATTGGAAGGGACCTTAAAGCTTATCTCATTCCAACCCCCCCCCACCCTGGGACACCTTCCACTAGACCAGGCTGCTCCAAGCTGCATCCAACCTGGCCTTGAACACTGCCAGGGATGGGGCAGCCACAGCTTCTCTGGGCAACCTGTGCCAGGGCCTCACCATCTTCATGGGGAAGAACTTCTCCCTCAGATCTCATCTAAATCTACTTTCAGCACAAATCCATCCTCCCTTGTCCTATCCCCTCTCCAGCTTTGCTGTTGGTCTCTTCAGGTACTGGAAGGCTGCTCTAAGGTCTCCCTGGAGCCTTCCCTTCTCCAGGCTGAACAAGCCTAACATCACAGCAGAAACACCAGTTAATACCAAATTAACACTCGCTTCCCTGTGTGCCTCTAAAATATATTACTTCTATTAAAACAACACAGGAAAACCACCACAGACTGATCTCGCATGTGCAATCCTCCCTGCTTCAGACAGATTACATAGATATTATTAAATTCCAGACTGGGGCCCTTTAATTACTTATATGATTTTTAAATTTTTAACTCTCCACAGTTAAACATTTTAAAATCAGGTGGAAAATCTTTACTGTTTCACAAGCATAAAAGAAAATAAAGTTATCTATATGGGTGTGGAGTGGAGGTGGGGCATTCAAAGCTTTATCTTTTCATTATTTAAATCCCAGGCAGTGTTCAGTTTGGAAATTAAGCCAGATGGATTTCAGAGTGCAGCCCAAGGTCATCTAAATACTGTGTTCTGCTCCAAACTGCAAGCATGATCATCATGAACCACACAAAGCCATCAACAGAAATTTAATACACTGATAGATACTCAGTGATCTTCTGAAAGAGCACGTTGAATATTTCTTACCCTCAAGTGCAAGGACACAAGTAGCCCTTGTTTAGAAGTGATACGGTAGGAAGGAAATCTGCCTGTTGGTATCACAGGAAAAGCAGATTTATGCTGTTGCTTTGTAAATATGTGCTTTGTAAGAACTAGCTGTTTCACAGCCAGATGGTTCATTTAATAGTGTCTTATTCTAAGTTAAGTCACTCACCTGCAACTGCAGACAGAACACTTGCTCTTGCAGAGCTGCACCACAACAATATTCTGTGTACTGTGCAGCAGGTCATCTATTGCCAAAACAACCAAAAACACACACACATACTTACCCTTACTCAGAAATCAACCTCTACTTTTTTAATGAAAATACCTATACTCGAGTGATAGTTTTACTGCTTTGCAGGATTTAAGATTCACTTTAATAAGAAAATGTCACTAATGAAGCATATGTAACCGGATGTCAGCCGCTCTATTTTTAACACGTGTGCTCTAGCACAGTGCCTGCCGCCAGCCTCCTCCCGGCTCAAGGTGACGCCTTGACCTCTACAGCAGCAGCTCCACAGCACCTGGGAGCGGCTCCAAGATCCTGATGTTCAGCTTCTGCACAGAATAGGGCTTTATTAAGCACAAAACCCAAAATTACACAGTTAAAAGGACTACCTCTTTTTAACAAAACACTGTTTTTTGCTACAGCGTGACACAGATTGTGTAACATTTCTTACACAGTTGATTCTGCCACAGCCATCCACCCTTCCCCTACCTGAAATTACCTTTTTTTTTTGACACCTTCCACCACTCTAGCTCACAGCACTTGGCGTTCTTATTGTTCCTGCCTAGTTGGATGGAGCTTTCAGCAACCTGGTCTAGTGGAAGGTGTCCCTACCCACACAGGGGGCTGAAACTAGATGAGCTTTAACATCCCTTTCAATGCAAACTATTCTGTAATTCTATTATTTCATATGCCTTCTAAACACAATGCTCCCAAGTTTAGGAAACACCAGGTTAACTGGATTAAACTAAATCAAACAAGGAAATGCTTCCACTTGTCCTTTTTATCTTAGGCCAAGCCTTTCCATTAAGTCAAAGCCCGTATTTCCAAATGAATCAATGTTTTGTGGAACAGGTGGTCTAAAAGACTAATGGATTAGTCTGCTGAGCCACTACATCTGCCAACTTGAACTAATACCACATTTCCAACATGCTATGGAAATGATGTGGGAATGTGCATTTTGGAAAGAATATTTAGTGAAATAGCTAAACTTGGCTCATACAGAGATCTGGTAAGCGTATCTTTTCACAGAGGAACGGACCCTTTATACATCTTTAGGAAATGGTAAGACCTCAAATCACTTGGAAATTTCAAAATATTTGCTCTGATGATGACTCTTATGTAAACCCAGCACAGAGTCTTGCTGAGGAATCATTCCCTATGTAGGTCAGGAAAAGGAAGGGCAAGTTGTATGCAGTCTTGCAACGGAGAAAAGCAGGTACAGAAATCAATGTGTATTTTTAATTTCCCTGCCTGTTTCCCCTCAAGCAGCAATGGATTGTTCCAGATGTAGAGAAAACAGTATTTGCAGATATATACAAAAGTTTATTTTACAAACAGCAACTATTTTTGAGTAACAAAATTGCAAAACCAGACCAACATTAGAAAAAACAGCTCAGGGGTACGTTTTTTATCTGAAGCAGAATTTAACAGACTTCATTAAGTAAAAATACTCCCTCCCCCTTCCCTCAAACTCCTCCCCCAGTCATCTACGATAGAATTTCTTCATAAAGCTTTAATTCAAGATATGAAATAGCCATTAATGGCATTACAGTAATTTTGGACAACTGCAATTAACTGATTGACTGTATTTTTATTACATTTTCTTGACCTTAAAAAGTCTGATCTGAAATATGATGAAGTCCAATGCTGGAGCAAGTTCTTCTCTAGTAAGTAAATGACAATGTTTATAGTTGTGCATTTTTACAGACCACTAACCCATTAGTTCTATTTTCTCAGTAAGGGAAAAAAACAAAACTGTGAAACTCTTTTGAGTTAGCACTGTCTGTTCAGGACTCTGAAATGGTGGCTACTGTTAGAAACATGCCTGTAGATGTGTACTGACTTGAGTAATAGATGTCCTTAGTGTTAAAAAAGCACAAGAAGCTTACAAAATATTGATTTGAAAGGATCACATGCACACAGTTTTTCACTGAGCTTCAAGAGGAGGAAGGGTATAAGCCCGGAATTTTGGGTTCTTCTCAAAAGTGGAAAACACAATATGACAAATTCAGTCTTGGGAACTTACTACAAACGCCTTACTCAGCTGTTCATGAACAGAAACAGAGGGCACCATCGCTATCTTCAAACTTCACTGAGCTTTCTTTTCATGTGTCTGAAGTGTACCAAAAGCTAATTTTGCATAGCTTAATTCAATCAAAGAGACTGCATGAATTAATGTCTAAGCAAGAAATTACCACTTTCAATTTTCAAAGCTGTTGGGTCCTGATGAGGTTGTTGGGTTTTTTGTAATTTCAGTATCTGAAAAATTTGAGAAAATGAAAGCATCTCAAGACATTACAGAAAGTTGGTAATGAAAACTATTATTGTACAACAGTACCCATTAGCTCTAATAAAGCTGTGTTAGTCTGTTTTTTCACTACAGAGCCCACTTTTATTATTATGCCACTACAAAACTGTGTCTAAGTACACAACTTCCTAGACACTGAAAAACTTTACAAATTATTTAAAATCAAATCAGAATATCATAAAAATTGCTCAGTGCTCTTTCAGCTAAAATCTGTGTTGTTTTTTGCAAACCATTTACCTGTAACACAGAGTCATTTTTGGTATTAAACTTTACTTTGAAAGTATTGTCCATGCTTTTTATCAGGCATACCAGGCTTTTTGTAGTTGTATCACTTTAACAATATGTAGTTCAGTATTTGCAATATCAGCATCTGATATTCCCTATGGCAAATGGAATACACCTACAGACATTCTTATAAAGAAACTATTATGGTTTGTTTTTTCAAAAAATTATCATTACATATCATTAAAAAAAGTGTTTTGAACAAACTTGTGATATACTCAACAGTTTACAACATTCAACTTCAAAATATGCTGAAGTACACCAAGCACTGTAAAGTGAAATGAAATTAAATTCAAAACTGTTAGACACTTGAGAATATCGCTGTTTTATCACAAAATTATTTAAATGTAAAGTTTAGACAAGATGGATATCAAGAGCAAAATTCATCATGCTTTTGCTCACTATTGTCAGAGATACAGAACATGTCAATTCATGTTGTGTAATCTCACCCTTTTCAGCAGACTTCTGAAATATCACAGTACAGAAAGGATTAAGACAGAGTGGCAGCCTTTGTTTTCATCACCTAGCTCTTGTGTGTATGCACTGTATATAATGCAATAATCAACAAGACATCACAGAAACCCATCTTCCAGCATTAAAAAAATCATTTTAATAAACTAGAAATGGCAGCCTTTGTTAGAAGGTTTGGTTTTTTTCTTCACAGTTTTACAGTTGCTAGCATCTATTTAACAGGAACAGGCAGGAAGACCTAAGATGTTTATAAACATACTTGAAGACAGTAACAATAGCTGCACCCAGAAAAGCAGTGACAGCAAATTCGCCTGTCATTCATGGCTTGGAAACCTAATTCAAGGAAATAATACTTTTTTCTTTTTTTTTTAAATTTCATGTTTTGTAAAAGCAGTTGATATTAAAAAAAAAAACAAAAACAGAAACCAACCAACAACAAAAAACAGTTAAGTTCAGTACTCCCTACTTGTATGAAGTACTATGTATGAAGTATACATGACTGTATACTCCATACGTATACAGTATACTTACACTTCATGAGTATACAGTCTCTCAGGCAAGTTCACCGTTAAATAGGAAAGTTTCAGCTAACTCAGTAAACACCCTTCAACTTCACTTGTGACACTGTCAAAAGTTTTAACGTAACACTGAAAAAAATTACTAAATACAGTTTCCATCGTAAAAGAAACGGTTTCAGCTGTATCTGCTGCTTTCACTGGGGCTCCGATTGTTAGAGTAACTGCGATCGCTTTCACTGTCAGAGCCGTAAGATCTACAAAGAAAAGATTAAAATGCCTCAAAATTGTATTCTGAACTTCAAATTCAAAATTTCATCATGTAAAAAAAAATAAAATGTCAAGAAGCACAAGAGACAAGAAGAAAACATACAAGAAGTCTTTAACAGGATATTTCATATAACTGAAGTATTCCTTAAAGGACTCTCAAAATTAAAATGATGATTAATTCAAAGGATGAAAACCCTGTGTAACTCCAGTCAAACAACTGTGGCTGTAACTACATCTTGCCTTCTCATCCCAAATAACTGGGTTTGTAAATGCTAATAGCTGACTGAAAATTTTAACAAATATAATTTTATAAGTGTAAGCATTTTCTCAATTGAGATAATTTCCCAAATCTTTGCTTTATGTATATTACAGTGCTTCATCTGAAGAAGAATCTTATGAATTAGGCCCTGTAACAACAGGGGAGGACGACTGTCTGCAGAGTGGAAATTGTAGATTAAAATGTTTTGGCTTATCCGGACAAATTCCAAGCACTTGGCCAAACATCAAGATAGAGTCCAGATGGTTTCAGACAAGCCACAGGACATATTCTAATTACATAGAATAAACTTTCATTAGAGATTTTCTAGCCTCATGCCTGTAGAGAAAGCTTTCTAAACAAAAGGTAAACACATCCTAATCCAGCATTGTTCCTCTGAAGCTTCCCAACATCCTAAACCAATGATTTTGTAAGTCTTTTTTCCACACACCAATCTCATTTATTTCCCCTCAAACACATGATGAAAATCATCCTACTGTCAGAGCTAGATGTGGAAGTGGGCGAGAACAAAGTCCATTAAAAGCTGGTACAAAGTTGTGAAAAAATAAGCATGAGGATAGCAGAGGATAAAAATTTACAGTAGTCTTAGGGGTCTGCCTGATTCACCACTAATGTGGGGCATTAAAAAGGTACAAAACAAATCATCACGGATAGAATTTACCATCCAATGACATTCCCTGCACACCGGGTAGTTTTTAATCCACAATAAGACACTTGATTTAAATCTTATGTTCACTGTAGTTTTTAAGAAACATTTAAAATTATTAAAAAATCCCATGTATGTATTTTGAATGCATACATACAATGAACTGGAGCCTTCGCAAATCTTTCTTACCCTAGTTTCTTCCACATCCTCAAATTTAGTATGTTAGAAATTCTGATTTCCTCGATCATACACTTGCTCTAATTTGAACTGGCTTTAATTACTACTTCTGCTAACAATGCATTTTTTATGCTTGGGGGAAAAAGAACCACATCAGCCTTCATGAACATCCTAAGTATATATTTAGCAAATTCTTTTGCACACATTCAGTGTCAAGTCATGCTAGCAAAAACCTACCTGGACCGCCTATCATAACTTCTGGATCTTCGATAGCTGTCACTCCTTTTACTTCTACTTCGACTTCTGCTGTAGTAACTATCATACGTGTATGACCTACTTTATAGTGAAAATAAAGTTAAGTGTAAATTTACAATTCCTTGTCTAAAATGCAATTTAATATATGTATTCAAGACATTCATATAGAGAGATGAGCAGCTATGCAGAAATTACTTTTGAAGGGTGTGTCAAACAATAATTCTATAATTTATAAAAGTTCAAATACAAGTATCTTAAAAAAAACCAGTAAAAATCTCAAATTTATTAATTCAGAAAAGAAATACTAACCATATAAACAGTTTCACATTCCACGTTTTCTCTACAAATTGTAGATGCAGTAAACATCATTTATACCTCAGCTGTTGTGGTTTTTTTTTTACCAGTAAAGGGAAATGAGTTCACTATTACACATCTCATATCACCTATAACTGCAATGCCAAGATGATTTTGTTATTTTCAGCTTTTAAATGTATCTGATGTCAATTTTGCTTTGATTCAAGGTGCTATCATAATATTTTAAAATGTAAATACCGCAGATAAAGAGGTACTCTTATTTTTTTTTATAATATGCACATTTACTGCAGAGTCTGCATAAAACTCTAATAGTTTTTATAATGCTATAATCCATACCTGGATCGACTATGATGATCGTAAGAACTACTTCTGGATCTACTTCTACTATAGGTTCGACTGACAAAAACAAAAACACAGAGATATTTTAAGTTAATCAGAAACAAGTGCTGAAGAGAGAGGGAGGCGGGGGAAGCAAGAGTCAAGGAACATATTTTGCTCAGAATTCCTTATCTATACTACAAAACGTTAGATAAAATTATTTTTCAGTAACAGGAAATTCTGAAATCCAACTATTCTAACCTGCACATTTCAAGTAGCTACTTCAAACTGTAGTACGCATAGCCAAGCGTATAGCCAGGCTCAGAGGCTGAGGCATCAGATTGGTTTGCAATACGTCCTAACACTGTCCCCAGCTAGAGAAACTTACCTACGGCTCTTGTAACTGTGGTAAGAACTACTTCGACTTCTAGACCGATCTCTACTATACCATCCTCTGCTTCGGCTTCTTGTATAGCTTCTTGATCTACAATGAATGAACAACTTTGAAAAGCACAAATAGGATGTAACTGAAGAGAACAGCATTATAAAGCTTCATCTTTTAAGCTAGATATTTATTCCATACTTGATAAGTGACATAGCTGAAAAAGAAAATAAGGTTTCAAAATATCAGAGCTTTCACTTTAAGCTGTGGGAGCAGCACAAACTTCTTACCGATATGAAGATGTAGAACTTCGTGAGCGACTTCTTGAGTGACTATAAGATATAGACCTTGTTCTGTGTCTGGATTTAGATTCAGATTTACTTCGTGACCTACTGAGACTCCTGGATGGGCTATTATCATCTCTACTTGGAGATTCTTCCTCACTGGAACTTTCTTGGTTCCTTGGCCTTCGATTTAGCCGTGCTGTTTTTCTAACTTCATCAAACAGAGATCCAGGCCTTACTTTATTTTTAGCTTTTATTTCGATTCTTAAACCTGCTGGTTTAAGCTCTGGTGCTGAAGCTATGTTCTTAACTTCTGCAGCAGTACTAATTGTGGTTGGTTGTAAGTTAGCAACACCTTGCAAAGGCTTCCATTTATTATCTATCATATTGCTTTGTGTATTTTCAGTAATTTCACTTTTTAAACTACAGTCTTTAGCACTAGACATAGGGGCAGAATTATTTTCTTGCATTCCCATTTCTTTTTCTTCTTTAATATTTATGAAGTCTATAACATTGTTTTCTAGTTTGACAGCATCTTGTTCGGGGGTCTTAATCTGTAAATCTTTGTTTATACTAGCAGCTAAAGCCTGAGGTTTAGCAGTGAGAATGACAGGAGACAGAATATCTGCATCAACCTTCCCTGGTGAGTTACGATCTGGAGTACAAATCTCCATGTTGTCATCTGTCTCAATAACATCTTGCAATCCATTCTGGTTACTTTCTTCAGCTTGTTTCATCTCGTCTTTGCAAGTGGTCACATTTATTTCTGAGTTTAAGATACTGTCTGAAGCATTCATTTCCTTGCTATCTTTATTAAGGTTATTATGATCTGGAGAGGCACCACATGTAGTGTTTTTTGTTAAAAGGTTTTCATCCACAGAAGGCTTTTCAGTTAAATTTCTCATTTTATCTTTGACTATTTCATCCTTATCATAAACTTGGGTTTTATCTTTTATGTTCCTGTTAAGCAGCTTTTCTTTATCATCCTTTGTAACCGGCTTTTCATTTATCTCATCCTCATCTTCTTCACCGTACTCCAGGGGGGGCTGCCAATGAAACATTTCTTTTCTTTTCTGAACTTTGTGTTTCTTCTCCTTTTTCCCTTTTGATTTTTCTTTTGCTTTTTTTGAATGGGATTTTTTAAGAGCTTTTTTCGATCCACGTTTGTGTTTTTTGGACTTTCCTCTAATGTTTGTTGAGTTGGAACAAGAGCTGTCAGATTCAGAAGATGACAACTGCTTGCTTGTCTTCCATGTACAATCAGCATCCAGAAAGCCTTCTGAAGAATTTGATTGTTTTTTTATTCTTTTGGTAACACTAAGCTCTACATCAGATCCTGATGTGGCCTCTCCTTCTTCTTTACTAGAGGAGAGTCTAGAATCTCCCCTATTACGCCTTGCCTCTCCTTTCTCAGAATTTGACTCAGAGTCCCATTTACTACCTGAATAGGATTTTTGTTTAGTTTTTCTACCACCTCTAGGTTGCTCAGATTTCTCCTTAGCTGCTTTCGTTTTAGCATCATCAGAATCCTGCTCATACTTGGGTTCCTTCTCCACTTGCTCAGAACTTAAGCTATTTTTGTCCTGTTTCTGAGTACCTCTTTCTAACTGAAAACGGCCTTCTTTTTCTTGGACTACTTTCATTTTGGCAGAATGCTCACTGTCAGTAGAGAATTCTGAAGATGATGAACTATCACTCTCTTTCAAGCCCTGAGAAGACTCATCATAGTCTTTTGTACGCTTATAAGGGACAGTGCTTTCAGAGCTTGTTTCTTGCCTCAGTTTAAGAGTTCGAGCCTTCTGATCACTTGATGCAGATTTTCTTTTGCTTCTGTCATCATCACTAAGGGAAGAGTAAGACGTTGACTCACTATAACCTGACCTGTCACTGCAGTATTTACTCTGTGATGGTGATCGGCCAGAAGAACGAGATTTTGTCCTAGAGCTAGATGGACTTCTAGATCTCGTATAAGATCTTGAGTATGACCTACTTCGAGAAGACCTGCTTCTTGATCTCAGACAACTGTCTGAGCTTCTGTCACTGTGGTATTTGGAATAACCACTTCGATCGCTATCTGAACTCCTTTGTCGTTTATGGTATGAGGAAACAGTATTAGCCTCTTTAACAGCTACTAAATTGTAATTAGTTTGTGTGGGTATTAAATGTGTTGTTTTAGCTTTCATTTCCTGAATTCGCTCATAAGATGGCTTCCATGGTTTCTGCCCAGGTTTCCACCTTGAAGGTGGTGGACTCTCACTTAAGGGTATAACAGGGAGGTTTTCTGAGACAACTGGTGGTACGACAACTTTATCACTTGGGAGTATAACTGCTCTTACAGGCTCAGCAGTCTTGGTAAGCTTATTCTCACTTAAACGTGTTGAAATATTTCGTGGAGAATTGGAAACCGTCTTTTGATGCCTAGTGTTAGAACTTGACCTTGACCTACTTCGTGAACATGATGATTTAGAGGCTGATCTTGATCTAGAGCTTCTTCGGGAGTAGGATCTTGATTTAGACCTAGATCTGGACCTGTAGTATGATCGAGTCCCTCTGCTTGATGAAGTCGATGAGCTCTGGTCTTCCTTGTCAGATTTAGACCAGTCCCTTCTGGATGAATGTCTGGAAGATGATGAAGAAGAATGAGATTTTCTGTCACGATCACAAGATGATTTTGTCCTCCTGAGGAAGGAATGAGAAGACTCTACATCTGATGAAGCGGATGTTTTCTTCTTTTTTGTTTGCTTGTGCTTCTTGAAATGCTTCTGCTTTTTAGATTTCTTTTTATGTTTCATCTTTTTTTTATCTTTTCTATGCTTTTTGTGGTGGCTAGAGTATCTCACAGTACTTAAATCAGAATAACCGTTACGTGACCAAGATCTTGATCTCCGGGACACACTTCTTTCATCCCATCTGCTTGTACATGGGTCGCTCAACCTAGAAAAGAAATAAACCCCACACTAAGTGGAAATTCTTTAAAAAAACTTCAGGTAAATTAAGTATTTTCCACACCTCCAAGGCAAGTAATTAAGAGAAACTAACACACACTCCCTTTACTATCAGACAATTATGTTTTCACTGAGCTTGTTACACTCTTTTTAAGATACAAATTCCATCACTATCAAGAAAGCTACTTCTCTCTAATAACTGAATCAGCCAACATCAGAAAATTTTGCATACTGCAGTGCCATCTTTTAGGTGGTATGTTGCAATACAGCAATAAACTGAACACACTGTATATAAAATAATTCAGCAATAATTTATGATAGATAAAAAAAGAAAAACTGAAGAACATTACATATAATTTGTTATAAGCTCCTATTTATTATCAAGTCATCAGAAATTCTGAAGAGCTGGCTTCCATCTCAGAGTTTGCAACTGCAGAAAAAGCATAACTAAAACAACGCAAGATTGATGGATTTGATTGTTTACTTGGTATTCAAAGAAACCACATAACCAAGTTTGAGGCTAAAGGAAACCTGACATGACTTGCTGTAGGGAAAGCAACAGGAAACTGGACAGGTCAATTAATTACTTCTTAAATAAGTATCCAAGATGACACCATCACAAACAACTCTTCTGACACTTTTCAGCTTGTGTTCATCTGGTGTCACATTAACAAAGTAGAAAGGTTTTAAAAAAGTTTTCCACTTTTATTTTTTAGAACTTAAATGGAACATATTAACCACAAAGTCACTCACATTTTCTTTTTTTCAAACATGAATAACATAGTACACGCACACAATTTATTAAAGCTTGTGCAAAAACCCCAAGATATTTTAAATTTGTAGTAAGGATCTTACTTATCGCCTTTACTCCACTTTTCTCCACTAGGTGGTCTATATGTTCGTAATCTCTGCATTTCCTCCTTCCAGTGAGGAGGGGTCTCACTGCTCTCATCATCATCAGATTCAGAACATGATCGCGATTGAGGCGGGGTGTGATATCGCTATGAAAGCAAGGGAAGATAGTTACATTATATATTTTTCTTTACAAAAGACTGGACGATATAGCAAATAGAACCATATCATAAAATCATACAATGGTTTAGGTTGGAAGGGACCTTAAAGCTCATCTCATTCCAACCACCCTGCCATACGCAGGGCCACCTTCCACTAGACCAAGTTGCTCCAAACTGTGTTCAGCCTGGCCCTGAACACTGCCAGGGATGGGGCAGCCACAGCTTCTCTGGGCAACCTGTGCCAGGGCCTTCACCACCCTCACAGGAAAGAACTTCTTCCTCAGATCTCATCTCAAACTCCCCTCTGTCAGTTTAAAGCCATCCCCCCTTGTCCTACGCCCAGATGCCCTTGTAAAAAATAAAAGAAAAAAACAAAAAACCAAAAGGTGCATGCATACATCTTCATTACACAAGCTATACAACTTTATTCACACAAGGTCTATGAGGTAAACACAAATTCCAGGTTTCCTGCCAAAAATACCCATGTTCGGTATGCATATATCCCACATAGCTAGCTGTATCTTTTCATTCTCCAAGAGCATTTCACAAATAGGGCCCAGGAGCTAACCCATTTTTACCAGACATAAAAGGAAGACTCAAGAAGAGGTCATAGATTCTCTTTACATAACACCTTTTGGAATAATACAATTAGTGCAGATAACCAGCTTTTTTTTTTTCAGGGTACTAAAGCACAGATGTTTCACTTCAGTTAGCAGACTCTTAACTGCTTATATGAGAAAAGACAAGCCCTATTTCAAAAGTTAATGCTGTTCACTCCTTCAGAAATAGGAATCCAGTGTAAGACACCTTCCAAAAACAAAACAAAACAAAAAAAGTCATCTTCCACAGAAGTGTAATGAAGTATCATGCTTAAAACATTACACTTAAGCACAGCATTTAAGCAGGCAATAAGAGCTACTTGTGCAGCAGAGAAAAAAACTCAAATGTTGCTAGCTCATTATTTTCCATTACCCAGTTGGATACACACTTAAGTAAATTCTGTGAGGAAATTAAATGCTCCTTGACTCAATAAAGAAAAACATCTGGAATTCAGTCAATTATTTTAAGCCACTTACAAAAGAAAGCAGTATGTAGGGAAAAAATATTGCCCCCCCAGAATAAATACAGAAAGATGTGTGTATTGGTTTATTCAGTCGATTACGGGCAGAAGTTCTTACGATATCCTGTTTATATAAAAGATAATCTGCCATGAAGATTTGGAGGTTCTCTACCCTTTGAGCTGAAGCAATGATTACTTAAATAAAACCTCTTACAAATAACTGGCATGCAATAGGTTGAAAAAGTGCCATAGACCTTCCTAATTCTCTCACATTACATTCAGGAGTCTCGCAGAACCCCAGAAAATTCAAACCTAAAAGCGAGTATTTTGAAAAACATCAGACAAGTTCACCCTGAATACAAACTTTTGCTAATCAGGCTATTAGAGATAGGAGAAAAGTGTGTTTCTCCAACTAAATGCTAGCCCTGAATGATTTCTGTTATGACTGGTTTTCATTCTTGATTTTGCCAAGAAGGTACGAAAAATATGAAAACCAAGACAGAGACACACAAATCCCTGGCAAAAGCCAATTCCACTCAACTTTAAACAAGTTTTCTGAAAGTCTTTATTGACATAAGTATTTTAAAACACTCCACTTAAAAAGCTTCCTTTCATGGATATCACAAATAACAAATACAAATGAAAGATTTAATGTCATGGCTGGCAAATGAGGGTTGGTTCTCAGGTGAGGCTCAAACACTACAATACCTTGGTCCATGCTACAGCCAAGCCATTAATTTTGTGGCTTAAAACAATTGCACCATAGGGATCAAGAGAAAAGTACTTCTCAAATTCAGTGGCTACCACATAAGAAAATAATGCTCAGAGAAGCCTCAGTTAAGATTATTGTAATGAAAAGCATCTTCAACTATACAGATACTGGTTTTGGGGTGGGTTTTTTTGAGAACTTCCACCTACAAAAGAAACTGTCAGGACCAAACCTTGGTCTGGTTTATGGTTACCCACATGCTGCTTCCAAAATTGATCGAGGAAAACTTTCAAAACAGGAAGAATATGCTCAGTCATGGTATGCTACAATTTGAAATACACCAGAATTGAATGCACAGTCACAAAAGCTTTTCTTATTTTCTCCCTCTTCTACTGGCTGAAAAACATGAGCCAGCTGCACAGTGCTTTGAGTTCCGTATTGAGGCTTGTTAGAGAAGAGACAAGGAAAGTTTTGCTTGAGTAGAGTAGAACTAAGGCAAAACCAAAAGTCTTCATGATACCAAAGATTTGAAGTGGAAGTGAGATTTGCACAACAGGGGAGGTCTTAGGAAAGGAAGGTAGGGAAAAAGAAGGACAGAGTCTGCAGGTCTGTTAAAAGGCTTTGCTATCAGCACTGCAACGAAGTAACTTCTTGCCCATGCAGAGCCATTTATGAAATGACACAGACAATGATCTCAGTCAGGACAGCTGATGAAATCTGACAAGCTAACATAGAATCCTACAATGGTTTGGGACCTCAAAGCTCATCCAGTTCCAATCCCCTGCCACAGGCAGGGACACCTTCCACCAGACCAGGTAGCTCCAAGCCCAGTCCAACCTGGCCTTGAACACTGCCAGGGATGGGGCAGCCACAGCTTCTCTGGGCAACCTGTGCCAGGGCCTCATCACGCTCACAGGGAAGAACTTCTGACTCACATCTCATCTCAATCACCCCTCTGTCAGTTTAAAGCCATTCCCCCTTGTCCTATCACTACATGCCCTTGTTAAAAGCCCCTCCCCATTTTTCTTGTTGGCCCTATTTTAGGTACTGTGAAGCTGTTCTAAGGTCTCCCTGCAGCTTTCTCTTTAGGCTGAACAAGCCCAGCTCCCTCAGCCTGTCTTCACAGCAAAAGTGCTCCAGCCCTCTACATGAAACTATATTAAGTGGCAAAAAAAAAAAAAAAAAAAGGAAATAAAAGGTTGACAAAATGTCAAAAAGCAGAACAAACAATGTAAGTGATTCTGCCAAAGTTGCCAGCAAAACTGCCGTTTCTCAGCAATGCTAAGTACAAGCGTCAGAAGATGAAAATACCAAAACTCAGGAGGACAAGCAATATACATCACAAAGGACTGCATATGCTCAGGACGCTATAGACCTGCTTTGTCTACTGTTACATGTTAATAGTCCTAATGCTGAACAGAAAGAAAGAAATCCAGTGAGTGGAGTACAAGCTCTTATAACTTCTCATTACTTTAGGTCTTGTGGATCATCTGGGATGACTGGCTGAATTATTTTCAATCTTCAACAAAAATAATAATTAAAAAAAATATGTCTGAAGACTTCTCATAGCCAAGGAGTAAGCATTTGTTTTCCCAAACAATATTCTTATAAAAAGACAGTAACAAGAAGGTTGGAATATACGTGTTATAAAATGAACTATCAGACTACAATATTTCAACCTAAGCTGGATTTTACAACATGTCAACCACAGTTAAAGTGTCACACAAAGCCTCAAAGGAAATTCAAAGCTGAAGGTCAGAGAAGATACTCTGGATGGAAGGAGGAAAAAAAAAAAAAAAAGGGAAAGAAAAGGAAAATCAAGAAAAAATTGCCACATACTATTGTGCCTCTTCCTTTAATTTTTCGTCCAGATTTAGAGACTGATGGTTTCGGGTCAGCCAGAACTGGTGTAGTATCAAGAAGCTTCCTACATAAATTAATAAAATATGAGTTTACATAGAAAAAAACAACAAAAAAACCCTTGAAATAATTTTAAGTTAATAATGCAAAATATTAATCTTATTTATCTTAAAATGGCAGACCTAAGAATTCAGTGAATTTTCCAGGAAATAAAGCAAGACATTAACAGTTCTGCAATGAATGGCAAATCAAGATATACTTTTTATCAAATCTGTAGCCTATTTGACCTTTCCACCTGTAAATAAATGCTAACAGTGAACTTGCAAAGCACTATTAAAGTAGTAAGTGGCTTTTCTAAAGAGGTTTAACTGCGTTTGGTGCACAAATCATGAAGACAATATGGACAGAAGAGTTTCAGGATCTCTGCAGTTACACAACCATATCTTAACTCGGAGAATGGCAATTCATGACAGTTCACAGGTTCTAAAGCCTTGCTTCTTTCCTAAGCAGTAACAGGTAACTCAGCACTCCTTTTTCCAGTTTATGTAACATCCTTCAGAGCAGCAGTTACTAAGGCTTTGAAAACATAAATAATGTTTCAAGAGAAAACATACAGGAGGCTACACCATTAACTGAAATGAATCAATGAAAAAAACCAAATCACCTAGCTGATTTTAAGAAATGTCTGGCAATGTAATGTATTGTTGATTTGAAGAGGTATCTCACAATGTAACGTAATAGCTCATCTGAGTCCAAACACAAAGAAACTTGACAGAAAAAGAACCAAACTGCAATTTAGTAGAGGTGCAAAACAAAGAAAACTGCAAAAAGGACAATTAAATTACATCATTTAGACACTAGAGCCATTGTTTGCTATCAGCACTAGTTACTTGAATGGTAATGTGGAAACTTTTTTGCCTAGTTTCCACCAAGAAAACATGATAAAAAAAATCTCAATGTTCCTTACGGTTCAGGTTCTATATTGACAACGGGCACATCTCTTCTCAGCAAAAATCTATTTTCAGGCACTGGGGGAATTTCTTCAGGACGTACCACTGGTTTGTCTCTCTTCATGCTAACATCAACTGCTTTTTCTGTTATATCACTCTTGTCAGAAAGGCTGCTATGGGAAAAAACAAGTTGATAAATCAAAATTAACTATCAACTGATAAACACCTCTTTTCAAAGCAAGTTCCAAGAAAAAAAAAAAAGCCCATGTGGTGCATCAAGCTTTAAGATGGCTTAACAGTCAAAACATGCTTCATTCACAATCCATTTTAAGCTAAAAAGGAAGGATGCACTATTACTGGGAGGAAGGTTCAGGTTTTGCTTTGCAGCAAATGATTTTGCTTTGAATTTGCCATTTGTCATGAAATGTTTTAAAATCTAATCAAATATATATGAAAAAAATCTATTACCCGACTAATCTTTCACTTTAACACAGGTATACTGAGTCCCAAATACTTTAATATGCTGAGATTTACTCATTTCAAAATCACTCTAGCTTCCGTCTAGAAAGATCTTAAACTCTTTCACAGAAAAATCTACTCAACAAGCTTGGATTTCAGGTTTTTTTGGTTGGTGTATTTTTAATAAAGACGAAACATCAAACCCCAAACTTAAATAAAATATAAATAATTTTCATATTAATTGCTTCAGTACTTCATTAAAACAAAAGTAGAATTTCTCAGATTTCTCTGAAATTCTTAAATTTACGAGACTAGTCGCTCACCGTCTTTGGTTTGAGGTTCGCCTACACTTTGGATCCTCTTTCTTCCTCTCTTCCTTTCTTCGTTTCCTTGATTGTTTGGTTTTAGCTCTTCTTTTGCGCTTTCTTCTTCTGCTTCTTTCACTTTCAGCTTCACTTTCAGATGAACTTTCTGAAGAGCTTGATGCACTGGAGGAGGAGTCTGAAGCTTCTGACTCTGAACATACTTTCTTCTTCTTCTCCAAAGCTTAAACAGAGATTTAAAATTTACAGTGTGTATGTCCATGTGTGTGTAGTGTGTATATATATAGCACAAAATACACCGTTTTATATATGTATAAATACACAGACATACTGTTTCAAAAGCGCTCTGTGAACTTTTTTCACAATGAGTTAAAGTACAATAATAAAAACTGATTTCTGCCTAGTCTAAACCCATACCACTAAAAGATGCAAGTTTTCCAGCAGATAGTTCCTATGGAGTAAGCTATAAGAACTACCATGCATGAATTCCACCATATAAGGTGACATATCAATGCAAAGCCAAGACATTTTTACATTAATACACAGTAAGTTTATAAATGAAGTTCAACATTATCATGTGCCACGCTAATATAAAGAAAATAGTTTTAAGAAGTAGGGTTCCCCCCCTTTTCTCTTTTGAAGAAGGTATTTGAAGTTGTAATACTGAATTCACAACTTTAGGTTAGAATACACAGATAAGAAAAGCCCATCTGTAGTAAAAAAAAAAATTTTAGAAAGCAATGCACAGGTTACAAAGTTTAAGAAAGAATTAGTCATAGTCTCAGCTGTATATTTCTTATTTATAAATCTTTGTCATTCTCTCTGCATGTGACACTTTCTTACTCTATCCTCCCGACTTTTTTTAAAGGACATAAATAACCACGTTATCCTTAAGGAAGGCCAAAAATGAAGGGGAAAACACGAACTTTTAACACTCCACTACATTATAGCGACTGTCCAAACACTTATTTAAAATTATTTATTCCCTACGAATTCTCATGAAATTATGTTGACTACGTATACTGCATATTAACATTACATGATCTTACAATTCAAACTCTGGAAACTGCACAAAATTCAACTCCAAGAAAACTTTATTTTGAATCTCTATCTTTCAAACTCAGAAAATCAAATTGTAATTATTTTTTGTGTAAGTCACATTAACCTCAAACATTAAGAGCAGGAAGCAGGGATACTCTGTCCAACACACAAATGTTTACATCAGAAAAACCTTCTCCCTTGCCATGCCTTCCTCATCTACACCTTTTAAGTTTTAAAGGCTTGCAAGACTTAAGATTCTAGAGATTCACCACAATGATTTTTTGATGTTGGCAAAATGTTCATGTTCTCTGAACTCTAATGTTTGGACTCAATGATCTGAAAGGTGTTTTCCACGCTAAACAAATCTATAATTCTATGAAAACAGTATCAACATTCAATTAACTTCAGATGTATGCATGCTTACCATCTTTTGCTGATTTTGTAACAAGCACCCCACAGTCAATAACTCGTACATCTGCATAGGGCCTACTTGCAGTATCGGTTTTCAGATTTTCTATTTGTTCTATTACCTCAAACCCAGAAATAACCAGTCCAAAGACAACATGTACGCTGTAGAAATAAAATGTTTGGAAAGTACATTTATATATTGCTGTAATTATTTTATAATGAATTTCAGATTTAAGAAGTCACACTGAACTAGAAATATTAAGCTCTTTAAAATGCATTAGAGTAATAAACATCTTGTTTTTAAGTTTCACGTTTACAACAATGCTAAGATTTTACTGCAACATGAAGAAAGGGTCCACTCTGGTTCAATGAGAGAAAAATTTGATGCCATTCCACTCTCTTTTACATAGGCATAGTAAATAGATCATTATTTCTAACGTATCCTTCTAGTTTCAGTTTCATGCAATAGGGAGATCATGAATCCATACATAAAGATGACAAAGAACTGCAGTTTTCCCCAGAAAAGAAGTATTTATAGGTCTATACAAACTCAGCACACAAATTCCCACTGGCACTGCAGGGACAGTTATAACTAAGGAATTCCCATTTCTGTTCAACATCTCCCACATTCTCTCTCCTTCTTCTGTTTGCCCATAACTTATACTCCAAGGAACTAACCTATTCTGAGGATAAAACCACACCACAAAAGAGAGTACTATCCAAATACATTAAACTTGACATTTCAACTCACTGATTTATGGATTGAGGGCAGCAACCAGTTTTTAAAAAAAATATTATTAGGGTTTAAGCCCTTTAAGTTTTTGACCAGCTTTAGGAATTAAGTTGCAACTTGAAATTTTTAAAGAACTGAAGTCTATTTTTTCCTTCTTCTTCTATTGAACAGTCTTCCAGAGAATTAAGAATTTGTTTCCCCATTGTTGTCTACTTTAAATATAACATGTGAAGACTTAACAACCTTCAAATTTTAGACATCACTGAAGGAACTATAAAGGATTCTTACCCATCAAGATGAGGAGCAGGTTTTGTTGTTCTGTTTGACAAACAGCAAGATGGCAAGATGGAAAAAAAAAAAAAAAAAATAATAAAAATCAGGGATTCAGATGAAGTAAAAGAAGAGAATGGAATAGGGGGGAGAAAAAAAAAAGTGAAGGTAAGACAAAAAAAATAGTGAAAAAAATCCAGTTACACACACAGAATTAAAAATATTTTATAGATTATACATACAGGCTTTCTTAAACTTTTACATGAGATTTATTTGAAGCTTAGCTAACTATGCACACTTGAAAGATGTACCAAGTATCATTTTATTGCATGCAATAAACAATTTTGAAATAAACACTTTTGAAATAACAGTCTTTAAATACACATTAAAATATAATTCACTAACATTTTTAGTCACAGAGAAGATGCAATTTGGCATTAAATACTGGGTAACTAATGAAATTTAAATGTTTCTGAGACTATTAGGTTCTTGCATTACAAGGTCACTATAAAGTCAGTTTACTTAAAAAGAAGAGTTATCACATGTAACAGATACTTTGCTCCCCCCTCCCACTTCTTTCTTACTTTCCACTTCCCTGATTGGCATCGTGACCCAGAATGCAAAGCAACACCTTAACCATCAGCTACAGCACTTCATCAGCTCACAGGCTTCCCAAAAGCAACAGCAGCATAATGCAAGCAGACATTATGTACTGTCCTGCAGTTTACTACTGTGGTAAGTGCAGATTTCCTCCCTATTTTTCAGCTTCCCACCTTCAGCCATTTGTAGCCTGAAGGAACCACCTTCCATTTTGTACACTATCCTAAAAACAGGCCTTTGAAGTTATGCCAGATTTCTGAGTTGACTTCAAATTGGAATATTCGAGGCTGTGCATATATGTTAAGATTCACCCTTTTCATGGTAATGTTATGACCTAGTATTTCTCTAGATCCTTTTCCAGAAAGGAAAGGAAATTACTTTTGCAAGTAAGCCTGTATTAAGGCTGCACAGGGAACCTTGCTATGCAGACAAAATCTGTAAAGAACATCAGAGCATTAAAAAAAAAAAAAAAAAGCAAGCTAATTTGCATCCAAAGCTATTTTAATATTTGAACACATCCTTCCTCTTTCTTCCCCAGGCACTATTTTGCCTTTCCAGCCTTCTTCCACTGAACTCACCTCTGAAAATATATAATTCATCACAGATACTTTTTCTAAATTTACAGTAGCACAGATGTGGTACAATGAAGTCAGTTTTGCGCTGCTAAAATAAAATACTACTTTTAAAGCACGTATCCTCACTCAGGTTTGGACTACCCAGTCACAAAACACCGCAGTGCTGAACGCATGACAAAAGATGGAACTGTGAATCAGGAGTGTTTACACTCTTGATTTTTTTATACATATATATATTATTTTTTTTAAGCTCCAAATGCCAACCAGACCTTCCACTACTGTAATACTGAATAATACAGAAAACATTGGTTTTACATGGGGAAATAAAAACTATCAAGACAATGCTTAATTCTGCAATAGTTGGGGGTGTTCTTTGGTTTTCCCTTGCTAGCATTGCTACAAATAAAAAAATGTTAACAGCTTTTGAGGTTCTTTAAGCAAGAGTCAACTGCATTAACAACCTCCTGCTAAGCAAACAGATTAAGGGGGCTTAATTATAAGGCTGATTTAAAGTAGTGAAACAATAGAAGTGGGTTACTTCAGTGAAACCAATAATAAACAAGACTGAGTGCTTAGAATTAGCTAGAAACAGCAGCAGGTTCAAACACACTTGATGTGGAAGCTGTAGTACTGTGCTCCTGCCATGCCAAAGCAGCACTTGAAGACCTTGAGCAAATGACCTGATCATTTACTTTGCTTAGACTAGTCCTTGATAGCAAAGAAAGGGATAGTTGGCACATTAAAACTCATGTAGAGGTTTCTTCCATTGCACTGGCAATTTGATAAATTTATTTAATTTCTCTCATTTACTTGTATACAAAATGAGAACACAAGGAAGAGAATTATCCCAAAAGAAAACTTCAGATGCAGGATGAGGAGTTAGGTGACTTTAACAGACTTCCTACGGGAAGAAGAAACCCAACGCCTCGCTCTGCTTTTGAAAGTTTTCTCATTTAAATGTGAGGGTTTTTAACACGACATTTATTTTGCAAGCGTGCACTTTAAATGACCGCTTCACAGTTGTCTACATATGTTCTGCCTTTCGACTCTTGAATGCTTACTTTGGCTTCAAAACAATCAGGAGAAAACCTACTTACTACCTTTGCACTATGGAAACCTAGAATCATGATGAGTTCCTCCCCCAAAATAATATTTCAATAAAACATTTCTATACAAAACTTTTATAAGTTAGAACACTCAAAATCTGCCTTATGCTGTTATCCATGTTATTTACAGAACAAATACCTTTCTTCATTCAAGTTTAAAGAAAATTAGCTTAAGATACTGATGAAGAGAAAAACATCTTTTTGATAACAGCAAGTTATCACCCACCCCCCAAGAACCTCATTCCTAACAAAGGATTCAATGCACATAACAATATGATCAGAAGAAAACAAGAAAGATAGAAACAGAAAGAAGAAAAGGAAAGGACACAGCCTTAGAGGAATGAGACATTACCTTTGGAGCGCACGATGTAACACTGTTTCTGTAAATTTTACACAAAAATGGCAGAAATAAATTGTAATACATTTTCAGACAAAACTGAGTCTATGTTTTATTAAATACAAGTTTACAATTAATATTAATCAAGTTGTATGCAGAACAAGGATGCCTAAAAGAGGGCTCTAAATTTTCTTTAGAATACAAAGTACTTTGAAAACTAAAGTAAGTTCTCCTTAAAACCAAAAAGAAACCTGTAGACATAACCTGCTTGCATACACTATTACAAAGATAAACAGAAAAGAGAATCCTCCCACTCCCCTCTAAGTCTCAATCCAACAAAAGGGTTAGAACACATGCACAACCTTAAGCATATGAATAACTGATTTCAATGGGTTTATTCATGTGCTTGCAGTTACATAGGTGTTCAAATGCTCTCCTAAACACAGTCCTAAATATATGTTTCAAAGGATGGCACACCATAGCATAAACATTTTGATTTACAAGTGAAATGTGTAAAGTCAGCAAGTTTACAACTTCCTACATTTCATAATTAGCTGACAACTTCCTTGCATCATGAAGCATTTCTAGAGCTAAGAAAAATAAATAGTTTCTCTAAAAGGTTCATCGCTTGTGTTCAGAATTATGGAAGGACAAACACATGGCAGACATCAGCAGACAAAAGTACCATGGAATCATAGAATATGCACCAGCTACTACCATAGATTTGCTCTGGTAGAATTCTGAACAGCAGCAATGTTCTAAAATGCATTATCAGTTGAGCTTATCCATACTGCTCCCCCAGTAAACTATTACTTCTCTAATTATATCTCTGCATATTCAAGCACGGAGATTATGTTTTTTTACGTATTACACATAAAAGCATCCTGTCAATACTTCCATGTGGCTGTGCTTTCACATAAACTTTTGATCAAGCCAATGGAACTTGCTTGTGTGATCAGTGCACATGTACCACTTTTTGCTCAAAGATACTGCAATGTCAGCCCTTTCCATTCAAAATGTTTAGATTTTTGTATCACTGTCAAATTCTCAAGAATTAGCTCAAAAGCTATTTCATTCACAGTAAAAAAAAAACAAAAAACAAAAAACTGTTGATTAGAAAAATACCAGTTTTGAGACACCAAAGACTTAGCAACGATCCACTTTTAATAAGATGGTAACATTGAGAAATCATTTGTAAAATCAAAACAGAAGAATCCTCAAAATATATTTTATCCTTTATTTAGCAGATCAAAGTGGTTAGTTTGTTGGAATTTAGTAACTAGGCATGGCACCACACATTAAAAAAATTTTTAACACAAAAAAGTCATTTAGTTTTGAGCAAGAAAACAGAGCTTGACCCATATTAAACCAACAATACCCTCAATATGGAAATAGAATAAATCTACCAGAAACAGCAAAATGGCCTCAAGTTTTAAATAGCTTTTGAACACAAAAGCAAGAACTCCAAACATTTGAGCTGACAAGGAACATAACCTAGGACTGCTCTTTTAAGTTGTAATAAGGACTACGTGGCTAAATAACAAAGCAATAAATTAATTATTACACAGAACTTCCCAGGGACAACAAAGAGGTAGGTTACTTCCCCCCCTCCCCTCCCCCTTCTGTTTTCTTTATGCTTCATCCTGCACAGACATTTCTCTTTATCTGGTAAGTGCAGCTTGACAGATTGTGTATGACCACAGAAGCAAAGTTAAGCCCATGCAAGCATTTCTAGGATCAGGAATCTCATTAATTTTATAGCACTTCATATACCCATTTTCACACTTATTTTGTGTGTAACTTTTGCTACTAGCAGGCTGGTTATGGCCACATGCATGATGGAGTTGCTCTAAATAGGTAAGATACCGTTAAGATAATCAAGCTGGAACATCCAAGGACAGCCCAACTATTCCTCCCTGACTTTAACTCAGGGACCTAAAGACATGGGCTGTATTTGTGCATTGCTCTGGATGCACTCCCCCAGTACCTACTACTACTTGCATTTTCAGCAACAGTTTAAAACAGATATTGGAGTACATGAAAAAAAGGAAGATGATTCTAGAATGGTTCCTGCCAACCTCAAACCCGTCCCAGAAATTCTGTATCCGAGTATCAACATGGAAACAGGACAATTAAAAGAAGATGAGCACACTGGTGGTGCTTAATGTACTTGCTAAATAACTGGTAGTTTTAAAAGGAGTTATTCACAGAAAAGAATCAAATTAAATAGTGGTGCTACCTGAAAATACAAATAGCCAGTTTATAACCTGGTACCTTACAGCTACCTTCAACACAAGATGCAATTAAATGCTCCAACAGATCCCTTTGGGTAAAGAAAAAACGAAGTTCCAGTATTTCACAAGTCTAAACAGCACACAAGGATACTCTCTATATCACACTGGATTTCAACAAAATGCATTTCTTCAGACTAGGAAATATTTCTTAATCACATGTGTGAATAGACTTAGCCTATTTAAAGTACATGCGCATGACAACCATAATCCTTCCTTAGCTCAACATTCTCCTTTCAAGCCAATTATTACTCCTACTCAGGTAAGGACAAAAATTATACATGGGGAAAATTAGTCAACAAACACTACACACAACACTTGGGACGTTATATATATGTGTGTGTATACACCCACACACACACACTTCTGACTCTTTATTCTGCTTTTGCACTTTGCCAGTTTCTACGAGGCTTTTATCTTATGTTCATTCTTTTCACACTGGCCTCACTGGAGCTCCCTGGCAACACTTACACTGTCTATTCCCATGCCCAGTTCTCTATTGTTTCTTATAAATGCTTCAAGCTCATTCATGCCAGAGAAATTCTTGATGAACCAAAAGAAGTTGATACTTTAGGACTAGGCAGATGCTTGTTTACTTAAGATTAGTCTGGAGCTTCTGTTTCAAGTAAACTGACCACTGCAGCTCAACTTTTTAGCAATTTTTAGGCACTGCACAGTTGTCTTGTGACCAACTTGTTAGTGCAGCCTGCCAAAGAAATACTTGCTGTCCAATTCCTTTCTCTAAAGACTAGTTATTCCAAATGACATTTTTCTGTGGTAAGCAGGGAAAGCACTTCTGATGATTAAGCAAACCTGTTCCGGTCATAATTCTAGCTATTATTTCAGCCCTACTTGGACAAATACATAAAAATAACTTATTTGCATTCCTTATCTGTCACATTAGATGTATATGAGAGGGAAACTATGAAAAAAATGTAGAGCGCTAAAAAAATATCTAACCAGTAAAATTAATCATGTTCAAACTACAAAAAAATAATAATAAAAAATAATCTAAAGTTTGCCACTAAATACTACCTTTCACACAATTTTCAGGTTATACACTTGAAGAACATTTTTCCTAATGATAAACTACTTGAATAACTGAGCGTTCTTTGAGTACAAGAAGCACATTCTACATTCTAATTTCGGCTTGAAGTATATCAGTAAAGGAAGCAAACATTCAATTAAAGAAAAGCTGTCTAGGTGTACAATATATTCCCTAAAGTAACTCAACAAATGTCACCAAGCAAAACTAACTGCTTTATTATATTGCATTTTAGAGTTAAGACAGAAACTGTCTAGATAAAATCTTTAGTACTTGTTTCCTACTTTGAATCTTAAAATCCAAGCTTTCCACATTACAGAGCTGAAACCAAGGGCTGCACTATTAAAAATATCTGTACAAAAAGACCGATTGTTGAACTATCCAGCCTTGCCTAGTTGTAAACTGAGTTACCAAATGTGAACCTGATTCTGCAACTGACTGTACACACATATACACGCTGTTGCAAGTGGCTTCAGAGCCTTCTGCACATACTCTGTAATTGTATGGATTCATTCCTGGGATCAGCTGCAGTACTGGAGGCTAATGGTGGGGTTCAGCTTAAATGCATAAACCTGAATACAGTAAAGGCATCCACAAGCAAGGTAGGAATCTCAGCTGGTAGTGAGATCTGTGGAGAACACTCAGTTGCTAACATACAGAAATCCTGAGCTGCCCTACTTATTGTGCCTGGCTTCAGCTACCACTCCAGGAGTGCAGGGGGTCTTGTAGGTGTTACACCACATTCACACTCCTTGTCTTGGAGTTCCCGAAGGTGTCTCAAACAGCATTAGATACCTGCATGCAGTAAAATGAAAAAAGCCCCAGACAAGAGGATTGCAGAAGTCTAGAGCATTAGAGGATGCTTTAAAGACTTGACAGCAGCCCACGTAAACCTCATTGGTTATCTGGGAGTTCACCCCTGGGCTTGATTCACTTGCCTGACTCTAGAACAAGATGGTGCCACTTATGACATTACAGGATCATAGAATCATAGAATGGTTTGTGTTGGAAGGGAACATAAAGCTCTTCCAGTTCCAAACCCCCTGCCATGGGCAGGGACACCTTCCACTAGACAAGGTTACTCAAAGCCTTGTCCAACCTGGCCTTGACGCTGCTAGGGATGGGACACCCACAACTTCTCTGGGCAACCTGTGCCAGTGCCTCACCACCCTCATAGTGAATATCCGAAGTAATGGTATCCAAGAAATCTGCATGGGGCAGGCCAATAAGACAGGAGACCTTCACAGAACATACATAGCTTTCTCTCCCAGCAGCTGATGTCCAGGCAGGACAGCTTTGGACTGCCTACAGGGAGCTGAGGTGAATCTAGCTTACATGGAGACAATCATGGTCAGGTAACTTACTCTGCCTGAATTTCCACCAAACTAACACTTTATAGAGAACTGGGGGAGAGAAGGGGAGCAAATTGAAGAAATATGCATTAAATCTGATTAAAATACATTAAATCACCATCATACAAAATAATTGTGTTTGATGAAAGTGTTCTTAAATAGTTCATTTTATTGTTTCCTGTAAATTACAATTTAGTATCTTACACAACCTTAGATTGTTTTGGTGTGTGGGGAGAGACAAGGTGTTTATGTCTATTAAACCTAACTGAATAAGTAGCTGAGCTTACTGAGCATAAGGGAAATAAAATGATTTCTGAATCAAGTGCAGGAGAGAAAAGAAACTTTAGAGCCCTCAAATGAAAGCTTCTTGACTGATGTGACATCATAAAGTTTCCACGTATATTGTTCAGATAAGCTTAAAAATGGAAAATTATGGCAAGAGAACCAAGAGGTAAGTCACCAAGCAGTAAACAGTGAACCAATGCTTTTCAGAGAACTTACTAAGCCACATTTCCACATCAGTGTGTATACATATCCACTCAGATACACTATAAGGTAGCCCAACATCCAAAATTTGTTTTGAAGATGACAGAGAACAAGCTTTTGACACAATTTTATCTCTACAGAAAGTCAGAACAGTGGTAACTGTGAAAGACTTCCTCTTAGGTTCCTATTTATTTTCCATTTTTAGGGCATTCTTTAGGAAGAAACCTAAAAATGTCTCTTATCTGAACTTCACCATGTCATATTGAAGATCTTTTTCAAGCAAAGAAAAAAAAAAAGAAAGATTCTCGAGGACAATTAACTCCTTTACTGAAGACAGGGAAGCGCCATTCATTCTTATCCCCAAGAAAGATGGCAAAGAAAAAATAGGTTTTTCTAGTTAAGTAACTAAACTAAAATTTACTTTTGAAAACACCAGTGTTATTTCCCATAGTTGTTCTCAGCTGTAATTCAGCTCTTTCAACTGTTAAACATTAACAGAAGGCAATTTTTACAAGGGATTTACCAGGAGGAATGATTATGTAAAAATACAGCAAGTTTAAAATTACTAATACTGAATCTAGAATACAACTAACTATTGTAACCAGAAGACCCTAACATACCAGACCTGAGTACTTACTGATGGTAGAGTCTTGTGTATTTTCTACAATTTAACAGAATATGGCTATATACTGGAATAGATTTTTTTTTTTTTTAAGGTAATGAAGGAAAAATCTGATTATGAGCACATAATTTTATACAGTGTTGGTATCAACATAGTTGGCACATGCACAATTAAACAGAACTGTGTAGCAACAAAGAAGAAAAGCATGTCAGGAACAAATACTCCAAAATTAAAAAACCCCCAAAGGGAACAAACAAAAATCCCAACCCCACAAACAAAACCACCCACAAAACAATAAATAAAACCCTACTCATCCTCCCCCACAAAGAGACAACAAAACCCCCACACTAAATCATAAGCTGTCATATTTTAACGAGTATGTGCAAATCCATACAAATCACCTCTAGATCTCGCTCCCTCTTGTGTACAATACTCAACATTGTAATTTGCAGATAGTATGTTAAGATTTGGTTGGTGCACATATAAAGCCAAAGAATGTATTTACTGGACATAAGAACTTACTACCCAAGCTGCATTTTTAGGGTAAAAATCAATGAACAAGGAACACCCATGTAGTACCAGCTTCTAATCCAAAGATAATATCACAAGAAAGTTGTTGTAACTAATGTTTCCTATTATAGCTTACACTGCAGGTACCCACTCAACCCTAGTTAAAGTAAGGCAAATGACATTGTTATAGATAATTTAGCAATACCATCTTTCTCATGAATAGCGCTTCTCTGTTTAAGAAAAGCTCAGCTGTCATATTACATCTACTCACATGAAAAACTGGGAACCATTGGTATGTTTCCCTCGGTTTGCCATTGACAAAAGGAACGCTCTGTCATGTTTGAGAATAAAGTTTTCATCTGTTTGAAGAAAAAATATGTTTGTCAGATTTTCCCTGACAAGGAACATAAGAATAAGTTTCTTAGTAACTTATGGATGCTACAAGGAGAAATGCTGCTGCTGCTAAAGAAATATGAACAAGTTGGAGAAAAACAAAAATAAAGTTTAAATAAGCACCTCAAAGTTACAGTAGAAGCAGTTACAAGACAGAAAATGTTCTTTCTTAAAGAAAAAGCTTTAGACATAGGGCAAACATTTCTAATGAAAAAACATTTAAAGTCATCGGCAGTGTCTTCAATAAACAGTAGATTCTCACAGACTTGGATTTAAATGCAGTATTTTCTGAATAAGAACATTGTTGGCAAATTGACTGAAATCCTAAAACAAGACTAAGCGCACATGATACTGGTATTTATACAGCATGCACCTCAGGAAGAACGATCAGGAGAACAAGCTATTTCCCCAGTATGGATTGTTATGAGATAGCCACCTATCCACTCCAAACTGGAAGTCTCAAAATGTCCAAGGGAGTAAAAAATAAAAACCTGAATAAGAAACTAAAGAACAAACTGTTCCTGCAACCTAAGTATAAAATCAATTAAGACTAAACTAAACATGTATTTTGCATTCCAGTGAATTAAAGAGGACTTGTGGTTGCACAGCATAATATAAAACCAGATCTTCTGAAGCTCATTTTCAAAGCTAAAAATAGTAATTTGAGTGTACAAAGCCATTACATGTAAGATTACATATCATGGTCCTGCCATGTTCGGCACTCACCCCCTTTAGAAACTAACCCTACTAACTTTTTAGCAAATGGATCTGTTCAAGACTTTCTTTTGACTAAAGGTTGTAATATTCCAACACCAAATTATGTCTCTGTAAGACAAAACTTAACGGCATGCACTTAACCACGCAGAGCTACTTGCAAAACCTACAGAGCCCAGGGCTGTTACCCAAATACATGTAGTGCCTTTTTTTAATGCTTAAATACCACATTAACTACCCATTGGTTTGTGTTGTTTTGGTTTTGCTTTTTCCAGTAAAGAATTTTATGTCTCTGAATATGTTATAAATTCACCATTTTTCTTCCAACAATAGATTTTGAAAAAGAGGTAAATGTACATTTATTTACAAATTCTTTGCTAGTAAAGTAACTTATTTAGCATATAAACAAAGTAAAAACACTTTTAGAAACAAACACTAAGCATACAAACCTTGAATAGGGAAGGGGAGGAAAGGGACATTAACAAAACAAGAAATAATTGTTTAGAGATGGAAATTATGCCAGTTTCTTTCTCAGAATAAGCCACTAACCCTCAGAAAGGTCAGAAACAGAACATTTCTCCAAGCAACAGATACCCATCTACAAACGGGTGTATCACTTGTCTATATATTTACTAGGGAGGGTACAAGGGAACAGTTTGAATTTGCGTTACTGAGCTTTTGTCTCTTACCTTTTCATTTTGCAAAAGACCACAATCTCTATAAACAAAAGAATATGTTGACAGTTTTAGGCAGGAAGATAGGAGTTTATTCATGAATAAAGTTGCCTAACCTCCATGCTGAAAGTCATGTTTAACGAATAATGTTAGCCTTAATTAATTGTCAGTTAAAGTTAAGTATTACCAAAAAAATTATCTGAAAGTCATGCATATAAAAAGGATTCTCATGCAACATTAGTTTCATGCAAAAAGTGATCTATAAGTATACCTGTCTGCATTAAACAGCTTCAGAATCAAGATTCGTTTCTCTCAGAACTAAATAAAGAATTTGCAAAGATATATTTCCTCTTACCTTTGAAATAGCCACCATAAATAGATTCACCTCCTTTTCCATTACCTGCGCATTAAAAAGCACGAATTAAACCTTTTGCTTTGTTTAGGAAAAAAGGTCATATGTAATATTCCACCAGTTTATTGCAAACAAGTACATTCTGGCCAGTTACTAGAATTACTCCTTAATTCACTCACAGCCATGCATTGTCCTGTTGACACTCAAAATGCTGAGAATGAAGATAGCCTTAGTATCTCTGAACACTGAGCTCTAAAGGCCAGTTCTCCAGTCCTCACTGGCATTTGCTAAAGCAACAGCAGCCATCAAAACAATAGCAAGGAGGAAATAAAAAATAAAAATGAAACAGACAACAGTAGGTATGAGCAACAATCTTGCCTGGCCCAAAGCCAGTGAAAGGCCACTAGAATGGAAGGGCTAAGAATATAGCTAGCAGTTTTAAATGCTTTTCCACTTGACTCTCAAAGCAAGATACTCCTTCACCACACCCATTTTATCAGGCAAAAGATTTCAGGACACAGTGAAGGAGAAAAACATTTTGGTAAGGACAGGTATTTCACAGGCTAAAACATTCTGTTGTACACTGTTGTACTGCTGTACATACTGCAGGGAAGGAAGCAAAGAAACTCCTAGATAATATCCTTTTAGAGATTTTTCCATTAAACACTTCTAACTTATCTACTATTTTATTATTATTTCTAAACTTATTCAAACAGTTATGTCCCAGTATTAATAGGGCATGATTAGTGTCACCTCTACTGCAGGCACAAAAGCAAAAAGCAGTTAAAACTACAGTTTGGACTTAAATTATTTTAATAATGTAGGTGTTACCAGCCCCTGAACTAAAGGGTTTTTCCTTCTTTAACTTAACACATTTTTCTAATCAAATATTACTTCAGATGAAACATTTTATAATTTCAAAAATTAACAAAGGAGTGCTATAGTTCACAGCAAATGAAATATTTTTATGGCATTGTAATAATTCCACAGCACTTTCTAAAGTTACATTATAATCACGTAAGTCATAACAAAGTTCCATTTATAGCATTTCAATTTTAAACATGTATTTTACCTTCGCTGAAGTCCCCACCCTGGATCATGAAGTTTTTAACCACACGATGGAAGGTAGTGCCTTTGTAACACAGCTTCTTTCCAGTTGTTTTGCCAATTCCTTTTTCACCTGCAAGAGGGTTAAATAAAAAGAATCTGTCACAAAATAAATTGTAAGGGTTTTTCCTCCCTGCTGCTGATGTATACAAGAGCCATCAGAATCACAGAACTATACAAGATACCACAGTCCTACCTGTTGCCTTTTCAACATCCATTAATAGCAGACAGGACCTCTTTACAAGGGGACTCAAGTGAAAATTAGGTTATTTCTTCCCCCAAAAATTCCATCCCCTCCCAAGGAAGAGTGTATTTATTAGCAAACCACTCGTGACAATTTACAGAAAATAAAAGTTCATTATAATGATGGGTTAATTAGTTTCTGTGGATATAGCTATGCTGCAACGCTAGCTGAAGCTTATACCTGACTCCTTTTCAAACCGTTATATATCTGGATTTGGCACCTGAATCCTTGGACAGAAATCTGACCTCAGAACAGGCTTCAAGTCAGCTTCAATACAGTCCAGTCATGGAAAAATGGGACTGAGCTACTCCAAGCATCCATCACATCTTTACCAATTCATGAGCAGGGTCAGGCCACCCACTAATGCCAACTTACCCAACACTGACCCTCACCACCTCAGTATGAAAACTGAGACTTTAATTTCTGGAAAAAGTGACAGAACAAGGGAACAGAATTGTTTATACAAGAACAGCTCCAGGGTGAACTGAATGTGAATTGTAACGGGGCTGGGGGAGGAGGACAACGACTGAAAACAAAGAAACAAAAAATTCCTCAAAACATGTACTGTTACCAGGATCACTCTTATCCAGCAGCAGAAGGCACATCAGGCCACAGTACCTGTTAATTCTTTCTGAGCCTTAGATTTTTTTTAAGGAATGACAGCCAGTGGACTCCTGCTGCAGCTGTAGCTCAAGCCTACTGGTGATTTTTGAAAATTTCATTAACAGTTCTTCCAAAATTCTAGAAGAAAAACTTCACTGGGCATGTGGATGAGGGAACTGCGATTGGCAGGGCAGAGGTCCTACTAGTAGGTTCATGAGGGATTTATACTGATCGAGTCAAGGAACAAACAAAAGACACTGACTTCAGATTCCAGAAAGTGGGGAGCTGGCAGAACACTGTGATTAAGGGCATTAGGTATATTATACCCTGTACAACAGCTAAAATCCCATGTAAACCATAGTGCAGGAGATAGGCTGTAATGAGAAAGGACAAATAACCTAATGTTGTCTTTCATCCTATCACTATGAAACAGACATTTGACACTCTATCAGAGGACATTTAACCTATATGTTCTGTACCATGTAGTTCACTCAGAAATGTTCCTGTACTTGTTACCTAGAACCAACACTCTACTCTCCTTTTGCAGTCTCTTGCTCCTCCACACAAAATTAACTCATGTCCAAATCACATCAAATTTGCCATTCTAAATAGCCAGCTGCTGCCAGGATGAGGGCAAAGAGAGCAACATAAAACCCACTCATGGCATTGTACTTGTAGAATCCTCTTCTTGGAGAATATAACTTATTTTCCATTATTTTCCAGTACCCATGGCTCTCAACAGTGGTCTCCATTTGATATTATGAGAAGGAAAGCACCTGACAAAGTGCCAAAGAGCAGATGGGCTTGTGCTTATTCAATAGGTGGACTGACGGAAGGACCTGAAAATGCCAGTTTGCAAGCCCAGATGTTTTAATTTAAATGCAAGGAGCCTCTCACTGTCAAGGCAGACAGCGTATTTTCACAGGAGCCAGGTCTATTTCTGACAACAATGTCAGGCTGCAGGAAGGCTACCCGAATCACCCTGTCCTCCTCCATCTGTCTCTGACAAAAACATCCTGGCTTGCTTCCGAGAGACTATGGAGGGAGCAGCAGGCAGGATGATAGGCACAGCATTTTAAATACTGGTCTTTCTCTCATGCCATATCGCTCTACATTGAGACAAGTGAAACCACCATTTGTGTGGTTTCACAAAATGCATGCCCACCACACAATGGATGGACACAGCTCAAGCTACAAGGTCCAGATCTCAAGAGTAGACCCCCTAACTTTGTGCTTACTTTCCAATATTCTTCCAATTAAAGACAAGTTGCAGCTGAAGACATCAATGAAACTTGTATAGCCAGCTGCAGGAGAGAACTGAAACAGGGACCCAATACAAAGAAGTCAGACTTTTTTGCTTTAAAAACTTGTCCTGCTTGTTTGTTTTGTTCCTCATTATCTCCAACACCTTTCCCTTCCTTCACCTCCACCTAACATTCTTCTAGCGAAGTTGCTGTCAGGATTTAAACAATCCTTTGGAGCTACAGAACATGAGGCTCAGCCATTACACTATCCAGTCTAATACTGCATTTAATTTTTTTATCTTTTGTACTCTGTTCTGAGTAAGATAAACTTCAAATGAGCTCCCATTTTTGTATGAGAGTTGTACCATTCTTGCCCATTTTCAGACTATCTCTAGGTATCTCTAAGTGGAAAAAAAATATCTGAAAGTAGAATAAAAAGAGGGGGCATCACAGAAAGACCTCAAAAAAAACCCGAGGTACGTACTGCACCTTCCCCAGTTCATAGTGTTCTAAAGCCATTCTGAATCTTCAGAGATTATTTAGAACACATCACATTCTCGGATTTGAGCTGTGACAAGATGAGCTTTAAGAAGTTAATACATAAGGATATCAACAAATTTATTTCACATAACCAGATAGCTAAAAGCTGCTGTTCACTAGAGCCAGATGTTAACATGCTGCCTGGAAAGTCTTGCTGGAGTCTTTGAATGTATTGAAAAAAGAGTTATTTCATGTTAAAAGGGAGAGGCTTCACTGGTATAGTTAGTTCAAGATGTATTGTAAATCACGGAGCATCCAGTTATAAACGACCAGGAGAGCACCAACAGACACTTATGTGAAGAATGTATTTTGTAACACAGACCAATTCCTGTAATAACCCAATCAAGATTGATCTGCAGTTTACAGCTGAAAAATCCCCAAGGAACAATGCGGACCAAAAAACCCCATCAAATCCTTGCTAATATTATTCTTTTTGAAAAAACCTAAGTCCTGCTTAAGTGAAAAAAAAAACAAAAAAAAAACAAACCCACAACCAAAAAAACCAAACCAACCAAAAAAACAAAACAAAAAACACAACCCCAAAAAAACAAAACCACCCTTAAAAAATGGAAGGTGCTACATTATACCCAGACATTCTTTTGTTAAGTGTTGTTCCTTTGATTTCACAGATTTCCAACCAAACAATGCCAGGACTTCTATGGGGCCACCATATTCCCTTTCAGTCCTTCATTAGCTAAAAATGAAGAAGTTTTCTCAGATTTAAAAGATGGTTCTTTCCTCTGATCTCTGCAGCACTTCTATGAACGTGAAACATACTTAAAGTTTTATTATAGATAAGCAACATTTTATATAAGAATAAGTTTCAATATATTCAGTTTTATGTAGTGTCCCAAGTCAAACGTCACTGTCATACTGTGCAGTGACATTAATACTGAATATGTCTCCTGACAAATCCTAGCACCCTGAATATCCTAAAGAATTGCATATCACATTTATGTAACTTCAGTGACCTCTTGTTAGTCTCAGCCTTGTCAATCACTTCTACCTAAAGGAGTCCCACGTTAGGGACCAAAAGTTTTTGTTCCATCAATTCAGTCTGCATTCTGTAATCATCTATTATTGCCACTACATAAACTTAGTCACAGTTACAGAATACCACACTATTTCCTGCTATGCATTATTCAAACCCTCTTCAGGTCTAACAAGTCTCAGCTTTGTTTTCACCAGGAAAATAAAGATCAGCACTATTATTATGCTGTGGATTATATTTGTGTAACAAATAATAATTCTAAGAAACAGTAAGAAATCTTAAATATGAGCATGCTACTTACCCGAGCACAAGCAAAGGAAGTTTTTACAAGTCTTTGGACAGATGTCTGAGAAGAGTTGAAACATAATTCGACCAACTAAAAGAGTAAAAGAAAAAAAAAAAAAAAAAGAAGAGCTTTATAACTCATAATAAAATATTCACATAAATAAGGATATTTTGAAAATAAATTTTTTCCATTAAAAGTTATTTTATCAAGCAGAAAACATCTCAAATATGCATACATTAAAACAAGTGGCAGGAAAGAACAATACCATAATAAAAAAATGAAGATTGATATCATTACATCTAATTTTGTTAAAAATCCTAATTATTCCATTTTTATTTGAAAGACAAACTTACTTATTAAAGTTTTTTATCCTGACAATTCCTGTTTTGAAAACATGTGCCATAAATACAGGTCCTCAGAGAGATGGAGTAATTCCCCTGCTCCCATGTACTATATTTATACAAATAAGTTAATAATAACATTATCACAGCTTCCTCTGTGGTAGTTACCTAAAAAGCCCAACTGACCTAGACCCATACTGTGTCAAGGACTAGAGACACATCAGCACTCTTCGCCTAAAAACCTCTAGTTTAACAACAAACAAACAAACAAAAAAGATGAACCAAAATACAAAAGGCAGGCAAAATGCCAACAGCAATTTTAGCATTTACATTCTACTTGCCAGGTACTATGAGCCAAATACTACTTTCTGCCTATGAAAAGTGGGCAGACTAATTCTCTCAGTCCAGCCACCCCCATGCTACTGGTGGTAGTTATGCTATGTACCTTACAAGACGATTCAATACTGCTGAAGAGTGCTTTAATACACACTGGGTTAGAACTGATTCATGTTTTCTTTTATATTCCAAGATACTGAGGTGTATGTTGCTAAAGAAAAACACCCCCAAAACCCATATGAAAGCTTCAAAAAATATATAATTAGCAAATAGGAAGTTGCTAAATAAGTCATAAATAAGCCACACTGTCAACCAGCATTACAAGGGGACCAGAAATAATGTGTCAATGAGCACTACACTCTAGTGGCGTGCACTGGTAAGACTTCACAGATTTTTTATTTTCCTTCTGTCCTGGGTTCAGCAGTAGCAGTCATTTTTCTCCTTCTTAGTAGCTGGTGCAGTGCTGTGGTTTTGACTTTCAGCTTGGAAACAGCGCTGATAACACCGATGTTTTCAGTTGCTGCTAAGTAATGTTTACTCTGACCAAGGACTTTTTGAGTCTCATGCTCTACCAGGGAGAAGGGGAAGCCAGGAGGAAGCAGAGACAGGACACCTGACCCAAACTAGCCAAAGGGGTATCCCATACCACAGCATGTCATGCCCAGTATATAAACTGGTGGGAGCTACCCGGAAGGGCTAGATCACTGCTCGGTCAGGCTGGGTATCGGTTGGCAGGTGGTGAGTGGTTGTATTTCCTCCCCTTGTAATTTCCCTTATCATTATTATTATTGGTGGCAGCAACAGTGATTTGCGTTATACCTTAGTTACTGGGCTGTTCTTATCTCAACCCCCGGGAGTTACATTCTTTCAATTCCCCTCCCCCTCCCTTCAGGAACAGGGGGAGGAAGAGGGGGCCAGTAAGCAAGCGGCTGTGTGGTTCTGAGTTACTGGCTGGGCTTAAACCACGATGCCTTCCACACCCCCGAAAAAAGAAGTTCAAATGTCTTTTATTCAATATTTTGTCATTAAGAAAAATTCTGAGAAGCTCCTAAGAAATTGCATTCAGTTTTAAGCCTTTGTCCAAACATATGTAATTGCCAACAAGGTGAACTGTTGGTTAAAAAAAGGGAGAAACAAAATAACACCACCTGTATTTTGTAGTCTTGCATATAAATTCAAGATGCATTCAGCTGATGAAATGTCTGCATTTCATAGGATTATAAAATAGTTCAGGTTGGAAGGGACCTTAAAGCTCATCCAGCTCCAACCCCCTGCCACATGCAGGGCTACCTTCCACTAGACCAGGTTCCTCCAAGCTCTGCCCAACCTGACCTTGAACACTTGGCAGGGATGGGGCAGCCACAGCTTCTCTGGCAATATGTGCCAGGGCCTCACCACCCTCACAGGCAAGAACTTCCTAGTATCCAATTTAAATTTACCCTCTTTCAGCTTAAGGCCATTCCCCCTTGTCCTCTCACTACATGTACTTGTAACAAGTCCACTAACTACAGTAATAAGGTTCTCTGAACTTTCTCATTACAGCAGGAAAATCTAAAGAAAATGGTGAGGGACAGTCTCCAAAGCATGAAGAAATAGCAAATATTCAAAGACCTCACATTAAACAGTGGTAGCTGTAACAACCACTATGAAAAAGCAGCTATTCTCAAGTGAAGAAATAATAAGCTATGCAGATTGAAGGCTCATGCAGAGAACGCAATGGAGTAGACAGTTTAGTAAGAGTTATCAATTTTCACTAAAAGCACAGTCATTCAGGAGAGCAGAAGTCCCATTCCCCCTCTTGCAAACACGCTGAACAGTGACTAAGTACTTTAAAAAGCCACGTATAGATTTTCTCTTGCATTCACTGTGTGAAATAATATATGCACTTTCCAAAGAAAAGGTTGTCATTATCCCCATTCTACCAAGAGTAGAGAAACGGAGACGAGCTGTTCATTTATCAAGGTGACAGCTGCCAAATAACTAGTAGATGTTACTGCCTGTGGGCTCCAGAAGGGACTTTTGCCCTCAGACATAAATTGCAGAAGCCTCTGGCTTGCAAGTTCCTGTCCTACATACAAACCCCACCATATCTAGCACCTGAAGCAGCAAACACCACCACTTCCGTTTTCTGGTTGAAGAATGTCATTTGAAGATCTTGAAGAAGAAAGGTGGGAAAAAACATTCATAACTAAGGCAGAAGGTGGGAAAAAACATTCATAACTAAGGTGTCATGATTTCAACAGCATCTTAAGCTCACGCTTTGTCAGTAACAGCATCTGGTAGCCTCTCCTGCCTTTCAACTCCAACAAACTGCTTGTAATGCACATATCCACAATCCAAAGACTATAGAACCAGTTTAAAAGACAAGGACCTCCATATAACCTAAAGTACTGCTTGCCCAGTTTATCCGGCTATATAAAATAGTGCCATGTGCTTACAAGACACAAACCGCATACTGTGTGTCCATCTGCTGGGTTGCTACCTGTATGTTACCTAAACTGCATCAATACCATTATCACTGAAAGCTTTTCCACTAACAGTCAATTAAATGTGCCAGAGAAAGATCAAACACATTTTCACACCTTGATCTGACAAATACATATGAAACAGCAGCTGTTAATAGAAAAAAAAAAATCTGTATAAAAGTTATGCTTAGAACTCACAAATCTTTCTCATCTCTCAAACAAAAAAATAACAGGAAACATCTAATTTTAAACTTGGAGCTGAGGTAGGTGCTGACATAACACAGATAAAGCATTTGAAATGCTATTCATTTCCTCAGATTTAGACACCTCTTATCTCAAATGATCCACCTACACTGTATAGGGAAAATTAACAAAAGATTAAGTTATTCCATTAGGGAACAAACTTTCCACAACTAACAGTAAGACTTGACTAGTAAATTAAAACAAAGCAAACAAACAAATTGCTAAGAAGAGGTATTCGAGTAGGTGAAGTCTTCTCACAACCTACCCTGACTCTTCGGTTGGTCTTAGCCAAGAGATGAACCTGCAGAGATGCCTCACTATAAATTAAAACTAAAAACATTAGGATTATATTTTTAACAATGAAACTCACACCTAACATGAGATGTAAATGTTCCAATACCACAAGAAAGTTACACAAACTCTTAAAATCTTTATTTTAACACATTAACAGGCAGGACATTTATGTAATTTTAGTTTAGTGTGTTCTCAATAGAAGACTGATTCTTACCAGCTCACAGCTAGGATGTCTTCGCCCATAGTACAGTGTATAGTTTACAGTACGTTACTGTACTTCTTGAGATAAGCCAACACCATAGGAATTTATCCAGTCATAATGTAACATTTGCCTGTTATTTATAAAACAATACTTTGATAAAACATTCTTATTTGTTAGAAGACTTTTGACTTTAACAATATTTTTGATAGAAATTAAAGCGATGAAAGTGTATTTACCTTACTGGTAACTACATACAGTAAGTGATGCATATATAAAGTCAAAGATGTTTTCAAGTTTGGTTTCACAAGTAATAAGCTTATAGAAACCTGAAAGTGTAACAACCAGAAATAACCCAGTTCCAGGACTATTTTCAAATCAAAAGATTAGAGGTTTTTTCTTGTGTTTTTGACCCCATGATCAATTTTTCAGCTGAGGAAGAACTAGTACTTGATTCAAATTAAGTGGTAAAGATTAAGTGTAGGAATGTCCATGCTATATTGTGCTGAGGGCTTCTGCTGGCAAAGTTTAATAAAATCAGTGAATTAAAATGTTTATTCAGTGATTTCCTCCAGTTTAGCTGCTCAACTTTTCCAAAACAACCTCAGGAGCCATGTAATACAACCTGTTTTGCTAGATGTTATGTTTAGACCATAAAGGTGTCAATTTCAGATAGACACTCCCAAAATAAATCTAGCTATACAAAATTAAATATATTGGGTTTGTCTTTTCCCAGTTTCCCAGAGCAAGCCAAGTAAGCAGTCGCTGAAGCATTTTTTTTTCAGTATATCAACAGGAATATCCTGCTGAAGAGGAAAGCAGAGATTACAACTATTAAAACAGCAATGCACATCCCCTACAGGCTGAGTCCAGGATGCCTGTCAGAGGCCCAAAAGCTTAGGTAGATCTGCCTGAAAGTTTAAATAACAGCTCACTAAAAATAATGTAATTTTATTGATATATTTATCCCTAAATTTGTCAGCACTAAGTCATATAAATTTTAAAAGACTGCTTTAAAGTACAAATGTAGCTACAGTTTTCAGAAAAATACAAATTTACTGTGGCAAAGGAAGAGACTGTATTGTAAACATCAGGTAAAACAATGGATGTCACAGTTGCTCTGAGCAGGCATCTATGCCTTGACACATTAATACTTGGTTAATGCTTCGTTACCCCGCTTTACACTCTTTGCAAGGAAAGCCTCCATAAACTTACTTCTTCAGCTCTCTACTAAGCCCAGTCTTCCACAAGTACTACCTGAAGCTCCTCCATTACAGAACTCTGTGGTCTCTACTAAAGCAAACATATTTCAGTACTGCATACAACAAAAATTTACTATCTTACTATATTTCACAGAGATATGCAAGTGAAAGACTACACTTTTTCTTCTCCTAGCAAAAGAGGCTCATCAGTTTGATCTTCCACTTACTAATCCAATTTGTTCTACACTTCAAAGTAAGTCCTCAGGGTAATTTCATTCTGCACTGACAACAATTTTACATGATGACTGGATTACAATTTTTATTAAACCAGTTCCCTCCAAAACTACACCTTAGCTCCCTTATAGGCCCTGATGGGGTACCCCATGAAGAGTGCTCCACTGGCTCCTGCTGTACTACACTTAGCTGGATTGACAACTGTTTCATGGACAAAGTGCTGATCTGTTTTATGCCAATATACAACTTTTTGCCTTCAAAGGCCTGAAAGTTAATGAGAAGCCAGTTAAAAACAGTTTCTGTCCCCAGGAAGGGTAGCAAAAATCCCCATAAAGCATCCCTGGTTCTACTAATGCAAGCACAGTACAACTTTTGCAGTGGAGCTTATTTCACATAAATTCACAGCAGCTGAAATTCCAAAATATACCAAACTTTTGCCTGATTTGACTAGAAGGAGAGAAGTAATAGAACAGCAGATTGACTGATAAGGGAAGGAGCATACCAAAGGAAGGAAACTGAAACGGAATGAAAAAGTGAGGAAAGAGTTAAACAATAATAAAGGATGGGGGGGGGGGGGAGGTAATAAACCAAGTTGAGAAAGAAAATTCTTCCACGAATAAGAATAAAAAAAGGAAAAATTTGTAAATAATATATTTCATGATGTATAAATCTAGCTGGGGAAGGGAGGGAGGGGAAATTGTGAAAAAAAAAAAAAAAAAAAAAAAAGAATTTTGGATGGCCACAAGAACTGCTACAGCAGCAGACTCAGACTATGTATGTGACATCCTAGTCAGGCATCTGTTCTAATTATCACAGTATCTGAAAGACTGAAGCTCCACACAGATTTTTTGCATCAGAGAGCAGAGAGAGAATTATTTAAATTGGCATCTGCTACCATCCCAAGATTCTTGGAATACTGGCAACGTAGTTTACTCCTATGTGCACACTGTATGCAGCCAAATCCATTGGTATGGGGGCCCAAAAGGAGGGAGAGGTGCTGTTGGTGTTAGTATCAAGATAAACACTTATTTCTGATTTATTCTCCCTTCGCTCTTCAAGAATTATGAACCATAATGTGCATTCATAAAAAATACTTAACAGGCAATTTATCAAAAACAGTCTAAAAAAACACGGATGCAAAGCCTTCAGAATTTGCCCCACTGTGTGGGGGAACATTTTTAGACACCAAACTACGCTGTTAAAAATGACACGGTTGTGTATTCTGCAGGTGAAGAGATGTCTCCAATATGTTACGAGGCATGTCTGCTTATTCTCTGCATTTTGCGGGGAGATGTTAGTTCAGCTGTTCAGTGTAGACAGGGTGGAGGCAATGTCTTATCTCTTGGCTAGCAACAATATGCAGGACTGTTCTTTTGGCCAGTTCTTTCTCCCTATATCTAATAAAAATGAGCCAGCAGATCAACTTATTGTATTAAAGTCAAATAAACAAAACGTTAACTTCAAAATCTGCTGGCAGTTTAAAAGTTAAAATGAATACCTCACTAGTACCAGCAGGGAGACTACATCTCACAGTTAGTGCTTCATGTCATCCGGAAGCACTGCTTTATCATTCCCACTTGATTCAGCTTTTGAAGGTCATCTTACAGCTAGAAGAGCAACGTTTAAGCTTTTCAAATATAACCTTAAATCCCAAGGCATAGTTGCATAGTGAATTCATAAACAGACACCAGAATAAAGTAGTATAACCAGATTGCACCTAAGTCCCATACCAATATTTTACAAATTGGCACATTTTCCCACAAAAATACAAGCCATTAGTCAGGTGCAATGAAACCAGCAGGGCTCTGAATTTGATATACACTTTTGAGATCCCTGTTACTTTAAAGGGACAATAAATACTGACAGCCACAAACACAGCCAAAGCCCTCTGTCTACTCCAGGTAACCAAAGCTCTGCACCACCAAGAACACTAACACTGCAATTCCTCTCTGACACCACTATCAGTCATCAAACAGTAATAGATGTGAGGAAAAACAAGGTAATGTGCTTTCACTCATGATGCACAGCAGAAGGCTGAGGAGACAAGGCAGTCAACAAGGGATATAATGAAAGAGCAGGAGCACATACATAAAGAGCAGAAGAGAACAGCCCAGGGAGAGATCCTTCAGATGGGAGAGTCAAAACAAAAAACCCCTAACAATGATTAGAAGCAAATGAGATGAATAATGAGTTATCTCTGCTATAAAGCAATGCCATTAAACTATCATTCCTAAACTGGAAACCTATTCAACCTAAAACCTTTTTAGTAGTCTTATTCATAGTAAAACTAAATTTAAAGACACAGAAAATGTTAAAAGTCCATTCACATTAACTTTTTTTCTTCTCAATAAGCGTTCAGAAAAGGCACAGTTAAATAACTCAAAGAGGAGTGACACCAGCAACAGATTTATAGATATGCCCTATCTGAAGCTTGAATTCAGAATTCACTGAAGCTTGAATTGAATCTGTCTTTTGAAACGAAAAAGCAAGTTAAATGGGTTACAGTTACATTTGAATGCAACTGAAATTTGAAGTGCAAAAATACAAAGTTATTTCAAAGGTTTTCAGAGAAACACCGAAGCAAAAACTGAAAGTGAAAGCATACTGAAGCCATCACATTTCTTAATTTTTCGGAGAGATAAACAGCAACAATATGAAGCATTTTATGCGAGGCAACTCATATGCATTAACAAATTCATATTCAAAGCCATGGGTAAGTAAATCTCCACAACCATTTTTACAGAGGGCGGAAAACAGAAAAGGGAATCAAGTACCTATTCCAGGATTAAAACTCACAGTCTGCCCCTAACAGGCAGATTACACTTCCCTTAGGGAAAATACGAGTTAAGAGATGGATTTGTTTTAATTATGTGTGGTTTTTTTTTTAAAGTGGCCACCTGATGAGGCATTCTGTGCTTCTACAATCCCATGATCAATTCTTTATTTACACTCACAAGACTCATTTTGAGCGGGAGGAGGAAAGATTTTTTGCCAGTTGACCTCCTGAGGTCCCTTTCCGATTTTAATTACCGTATGATTAAAATTACTTATCCTCACGCGTTTCCTCACGACTTGTCCCAGTTTTCTATAGTTTATAGAACTGTAAAGGTACAATAAATAACCAGGCAGCACTTCTAATAAAGGATGCTCTTTATCTTGAAAATGGTGTTAGCCTCACAGAGCCTCCCATGTATGAGACTAAAAATCTGTCGTAAGAGAATAAGAAACATCCAGCACACTGCTAAACATCAAAAGTTACCAAAACTAACTCAGAAATAAGATCAACGGACAAACTCACTGATAACGGCTTGAGTGCATTAGGGAGGCAAAAATGTGGTAAAAACCCATCCCAAACACGACACCACTTCAGACAAAACTCGTGCCAGAGACACTGGCCTTACCTGGCTCCCGGTTGATCTCTATCTCGAAGAAGCACTGAGGCCGGTCCTGCACCCCCATGGCCGCGGGCAGCCCTGCAGCCCCTCGGCCTCGCCACCTGGACACAAAGAGGAGCCACGCTGGGAGCCGAGCCCGCCCCGCCGAGGGGTAGCATTACATGGCCGCAGCGCTGCCAGAAACTCAGGGCGACACCTTCCCCTCCTACTCCCCCTTCAGCCGCCGGCAGCGGGGCCGCTGGAGCGCGAGGGCGGGAGGCAGGGCACCGAGAGGAGGCCGGCGGGGGGAAACCACCCCGAGGGGAATTTCCTCCTCTCACAAACATGGGGGAGGTGAACAGGGAGAGGGGGGCACAGCCCCGTCAGCGCTGCCCGCCCTGCCTATCTCCTCCCCCGGGAAGGGGTGCGGCGGCTGCGGCCTTACCTGGCAGCTCCGGCGCTTTGTTCGCTCTCCGCGCCGCAAGCCCCGCTCAGCGCCCCCTCCCTCCGCCCCGCGGCCAGGAGGCGCTGCCAGCCCCCCGCGCCATTAGCCGCCGGGCTCCACGGCCCGGCCGTCCGCTCCGCCCCGCCCCGCCCCGCCCCGCCCCGGTACGGCGCGGCACAGCGCGGCCCCGCCTCCAGGCGCTGCTGCCCGCCCCTCCCCGCCCCCGCCGCGGTTTCCCGCCGCCTGCGGTGAGGGGCCGGGGACATCGCTGTCTCCTGAGGGGCGAACCCCCCGTGTCCCCTTTCTTGGCCGGGGATAGGCACGGTGTGAGGAGTTTACAGCATTAATAAAATCGTGATCCCCGTGGGGAGCATCCCTCCTCACTGCCCTGACCCCGAGCTGTCATGACTGTGCCGGACGTTGGAGCTAAGCGACCATCTCGCACACGGTGCTTCACCTTTCTTTGAGAAGTCTGGGTGGATTTACTGAGATACCGCCCTCCGAAGGGAAAATCTTTTTGAGAGCACAAAGAAAAAAAAAGCCCACCCAAAAACTTAGGAGATTTTGTATGAGGGAGTGTTTGCCTTGATGCATGTGTCAGGGCTGTGGTAGGATGGCTCTGGTTTTCTGGCATGAAAATAAGGCTGGCCTGGGGTCATCCCGTCCTTTGCTGAGCCTTAGCTCTGCATAAACTTACAGAGCCATGCCTTAGGAACTCAAGAAGTGTTTGAAAGCGTTCAAGGCCAGGTTGGACCGGGCTTGGAGCAACCTGGTCTAGTGGAAGGTATCCCTGTCCATGGCAGGGGTGTGCCTGAGCTTTTAAGGTCCTTTACAAACCACTCTATGATTCTATTACACAATTTCAGCCATAAGTTTTGTTGCTTTCTAAGCAGTGAGGACATCTTATTCAGTCCTCGCCACACCAGAAGCAAAACATTTCCGAAGCAAAACATTTCAGAACGCTTTCCAGAAGTTGTAGAAACCAGAATTCATTGCAGTAGTTTTACCTGGCAGCCGTATCTGTGGTTACGTCCTTGTCTGAGGAGAAACTCAGAGGTGTTAGATTAAAAAAAGAATGTGCTGAGAATCAAGACTAGCAATGCTGACATCAAAGGATGTTCTAGAAGTTAGGAATGCAGCAAAATGGGATTGGTTTAGATGTAATTTATCTATAGCTTTAATGGCTGCTAGCACTATAGTATTTAGGCCTCCAAAGACTTTTTAACAGCCAGGTTCTGTCATTCTTTATTATGTTTAATAACATGGATTGTGCAAGTGGTCCCTAAGGAAGTCTGTCAGTGGAGTTGTCACAGAAGTTTCCTGGTCCTTTGAGGATGCTTGCATGGTAAGCCATCACACAACATAAAAAAAAAAAAAAACAGCAAAGTTTGGCCCTAAATTATTTAGCTGTGAAATGCTTTGATAATATAGAAGCATATTATTTTCCACAATTTAAAATGGCAAACTGAGAAACAAAGCTACTGAGAAGCTGAGTTACAGTAGCTTCACAGGAATTCCTTTCCAAACATTAAAATTTGAAATTTGATTTCCTTAATTTTCCCAAACAATAAATGTATGTTTGGGTTTTATGGTTATATGGATTTTTTTTGTTTCCTCCTGAGTTGAAATAACCTATTAATTCCCTTTTACCTGCGTCCTCTTGCTCTTTTGCTTTCAGAACATGAGCTTGCTAAAGGCAGGTAAGCAAATAAATAAGCTAAAGTCTCATAAATAAATAAATAAAGACATGGAAATGTGCTACTTGTTCTTTGTGCAAGTAGCAAAGATTGTGAGCAATTAAAAAGTTAATTTCAAGCCCTGATTATTTTCATAAAGAAGCAAATTAGAAAGGAGTTCTGATCCCCTGGGAGATAAGCTCTGAAGATCATCTCAGGACTAGAGCTGAAAAATACGCATCTTGATGGAAGAAAGACATACTCCCCCCGGCCAAAAAAGTCTCCAATGCACATCTGAGGCCACTCATTTGAAACATGAAAGGTTTAGTTACAAATGAAGATTCTTCCTAGTGTTCCTGTGAACTGCTGCAGATGCTGTTCTGGTAACATCCTGTGTCCATTGAAACTGGTGACAAAGCCCTCATTGATTTCAACAGCTATAGCTGGCTGAGGGGCATCACAGGCTGTGTGGCAAAGCAGTATGGCTATGAATAATTGCTTCTGTACAATACTAGTTTTTTATAAGCCACAACTTTGTGAAACACTCCCTTTGTAGGCTAAAATATTCCCAGCTATGTTATGTTCCTAAAGACAACTTTTGCATGCATCAAGATCAGTGGACCCAACTTTATTCTACTTCGGATCAACTTTAGAGATTTCTTAGTTGCAGATTTTATGCCTATGAATTCATGTTGACAAATCTTGACCAGAAATTGCATTCTTTTCTGAGATGGAGTATGCTTGGCTACAGGAATTTGGAAAGCAGGAGGATGCTAAAGCCACTGCTGAGCAGTTATGCAACCTATGTGCAAGTTGGGGTGAAACTGCTTAAATTAGGTCACAGTCTTTATTTTCCAAAGTGTCTTTGATTGCCTTAGTTATTATTAGTCTACAGGTGCCCATGAAAGCTCAACCTAAGCAGCTTTTGTTTAGGTATTTATAGAGGCTTTTCCTTATCTTTTGGCAAATTCCATGCCTAGAACCTGAGTCTGGGAAAAAAAAAAAAAAAAAAAAAAATTTGGAAACAAGCTTTTTTTATAAGCAGTAAGTTGTTGGTCAGTTCTTTCTCATGCTATTTTAGATGTTGCCATTGCAGGTATATTTTGTTTGTCAACTGTGATACTACAGAGGGCCTAGTGTTCAAAAAACATCTGGTCTGCTCCTGGGGTGCCAAATATTTTCTTACCTGATTTGTGATTTGCATATTTGCATGCACGTTAGTTCCATAAGGAGAAGAAGGAATTTTCAACAAAGCTTTTCATTATCTGGGGCATTTGTTTGGGGGTGGTGGTGGTGCTCAAGAATACTTCTGTGAGACAAATTCATTGCTGCTTATTCAAGATCTCACTCTGTAATCCCTCTGTGTAGATTCCAATCTGGCACGAAAGGATGCAAAGTGTTGACAACAGGAGAAGTGACTCAGAGCTGTTCATCGGGGTTACTGGAGTTCCACACATTGAGAGGCGGTGGATAAAAAAGCCAGGAAATTCTGCAGTTTAATTTAAAAACTTGTGTTACTGAAGAACAGATGAGCACCTGAAGTGTTTCCTTCAATCATTCAGTCATGCTAAAACATTTCTTCGGTAGTTTTTTCTGAAGAGTAAATATCGCAGACCAGAATAACTGAAAAATGGGCTTTTAATTATGAAAAGCCTCACTGCTGAGCAATCAAGAAGTTAAAAGTGGAAAGCCTGCAGGCAGTTGTCTGTTTAGCGAACTTAAACAGTGAAAAGGTGCTTAATTAAAAAATACCCACGTCAGCATTTGAGTGCCATGTTTAGAGTGTTAAAGGGACATAAATGGCTTGGGGATAAGTAATAAGCAGTAAAACCTGTCAGGTGTAGGCTGCTGATCAAAATCCACTGCATGGCAGTCATATCTGACATTTATCCACACATTAAATGCCAAGATGTTAAAGATTGTACATGGCTAGCAAGAAGCTCCTACCCACATCACCAAAAACATTAAAGCTGGGCTTTTATAGAGCCTTAGGAATACTTAATGGTTCCTATTTTGACAGGATTGAGTAAATTAGGAGCTAAAGGATATGGAAATGAGAAAGTTCCAAGTGCAGCAGGAGATTTAGGGGCTTAGACCAGTAGACTATTGCTAGTGCCTGCCTCCAACAGTAGCTTTCCCACTTCGTACGATGCATTAACCCCTATGGTGTGAGCCTGTGAAGGTTACTCCAGAAACAGTTACCCTTTGGTTGCCCTAGAGTCCAGTGTTTGAGTGGTTACATCAAGCCTGCCCACAGAAATAAAAAGCCATGTCTTTTGAAATCACTCTTTCACTGAAGTAAAGAGGGTGGTGAGGCCCTGGCACAGGTTGTGCAGGGAAGCTGTGGCTGTCCCATCCCTGGCAGTGTTCAAGGCCAGGTTGGATAGGGCTTGGAGCAACCTGGTCTAGTGGAAGGTGTCCCTGCCCATGGCAAGAGGGGTTGGAATGAGATGGTCTTTAAGGTCTCTTCCAACCCAAACTATGCTGTAATTCTATGAAAAAGAGCACTCATGTGGGGACACACGTATCCTCAGACAGGTTATAGGGATATTTGTAACCTCATGCACCCAAACACTCCCTATGGTTCTCTTCATCCATACTTCCCTTTCCCCTGGGATTTCCTGTGAACCATAAACCAATTCAATACCTGAACCATTAACACACTTCCTAAAGGATTACTGCGTTTTCCCCCATTCTGCCTTAAAGCTTTAGGAGTGTTTCCATCCTTGGCATGATCAGGTGGATCTGCTGTCCAGACACTAAAGAGAATTTGTTAATGACTGCCCCTTGTGATAGAAGTATTATCAAACCATTAATCCATCATGTGGTAACTTGCTTAATGGGGCAAGGTATATTCCTGTATATATTCCTTCTTTAGCCCTGAAACCCATATTTCATGTAAACTAGTGTATGGGACTTCAAATACACACTATGTATACACGGTACTACCAGCAGCTTGCTAAGACTAGACATAAAGTCAGCCAGTTGCTGTGAGGCAGATCAGATCTGGGAGACTGGAGTTCTCCTCTAGCTGTCCGTGCTCTGCCTGGATAAATAAACAGCTTCAGTCTCTCTGGCTGACACGGCATAAATCTCAACAGTGCCAAAAGCTCATCCAGAAAACATTCAAAAGCAAATGCTGTCAAGAAACCTGAATATGAGTGAGTTCAGGAGCTGGAACATCATTTAATGTAGTTCTGTAAATAATTCTCCCAGCTGCTCCAGACAGACTCTTCTACAGTCTTCCCATCCACCCAGCTGCTTATTTGCTCCCTTTCATTAGTATCTGAGTTCTCTCCAAATAATTTTCCAAAAATACCTCCCTTTCACTCGTTTCACTGCTTGTAGAGAAAAATGTTGATGATTTTATATTTCCTTGATCAATGAATGCCAGGTAGGTATCTGATGCGTGGGCTGGTGTTTGGGTAAGGTTTCAAGATCACATCAGGCCT